GTATTTATGAAATGCTTGTCTGATGCTGGTATTCAAACATTTGTATTTCCATCCTATGAATTATTGAGTACACTGAACAGCTTCATTACAAGTCACTCAGGAAATGAAAGCAAATAGGAATCAAAACTCTTGGAGACACTGCAGTCAGAGATATTTTCTCAATAAAATATTGGAAAGTATCTTTCAGAATCATTGATATGATTTCCAGAGGCAAAAGATATGCTCTTCATAGATAATTTGATAAGGTGAAAATGTTGTAGAGCCACTAAATACTACTGTGTAACTTCCTGTCTTCAGAATAGCTTCAATTTTATCTACTTACACTAACCACCTACAAACAACCAAACCAAAACTGTGAGCACCAATGGAAGAGAAAAATGAAGTTCAAAGAAATTATGAAACAACTCTGGAATTTAGATGGGTTTTGCTGACTATGTCACTCACTGTTATTAGCAAACAAATAGAGGTATACAACAAGTTTGATTGCACAGGCCTACTAAAACCAGCTCTCATGAGGTACTGATTTCTATTTATTGGTAGCATTTTGACATCACTTCTCCACTGATATTGAATTTTTGTAGCTAATTAAAATGCACCTTCTCTCCAGTCTGCCTATACCAAAACATGCTAGATAAACGTGCTTTCAGTGTTTGATATTTACCAGAATTATGTATGAATTTACTAGGTCTCTAGAATAAACTAACTTGTACCCCTGTGGCAGACATAGACTGCAAACTTTGGCTTTGCTCACGACTCTGGAACATGTAGAGCCTAACAGTTGGTTAGTACATTACAGAGATAGGAAAAATTCACTTTTGCTTTGAGATTCAAATTCCACTGTAATATTGGCATCTGCAAGATTGGACTTGTCGATGGGGACTACATCTACGGTATGCTTTTCTTCTTCAAAGGAGGGAAAAATGTGTGCTTTTACCTGTTTGTTCACCCTGGCTCTAACAGCATGGAGGGACTAAAAATCCACAAGATTTAATCAGTTAGATATTCTTGTGACCTGGAGAAGAAGATGGTTGACATCAAGGTGTTAAGTCTGGCACTTAAACCACCCACCTCTGCAGCGTATGGGCTGGGGCAGTCACTGTTTTGGGGGCAGAACAGGCCATAGCCGAGCAGTTTCTACTTGGCTGTTATCCATCAGTAATCTCTCCTGGGGGTTAAGGAGTCAATCTAAAAAGATAAATCCTTAGAAAAAGGAAGATGCAATCAAGTCCTTTTCAAATTTACTTAATCTGGCATCAGTAAGAAGCACATCTAAAAATCCAGCTTGAAAGCTTCACTAGTGCTCCAAGCTTGAAAGCTGTGCAATGGTTTTAAGTTAAAAAAAACATTTGGAATATGCTAATTGTATCAAATCTCTGGCAGGTTTTGAAAAATCTGATTCACCTAGAACTCTGAACTCCAAACAAGAGCTCTTAATCTGTTTAGGCTTCCATTGCAAACTTTCTTCCACCCACAGAAACCCCTCTCATCTCCTTTAGCATCCTTCTTTTACTTAATTGACTTATTTTCTCTAGATACTGATGTGGCTGAAGTAGTCTGATCTGATTTTCCTTTGCTTCTGACTTCACTGTTACATTTATACCCATGTGAAGCTTGAAACTATTACTATTCCCTTTCCTATTAAAAATCATTAGGCCTTTTTTAGTCAGGATGATCAATATTAAAGCAGAAGAATCTGAAACACATTAGAGGTCCATCAAAGAACAAACAGTCTTTTTCCCCCATCTCTCTTCTTTCTACCAGCATCCAACTCAGAATATACTGTGATTCTGTGATTCAGAAGAATGAACAATATACTTACTTGTATTTCATAACTTTATATTTTCTTCACTTGGGAATGAGATGGAAAGAAAGCCTTAGAGCAGAATTTTAAAAGCTCCTCACAGTATCTACAGGCAGTAGAATATGATACACAGACTTGCTAAACCAGCATCTACCTGCACTGACCAGGTAGGTGGCTACTAGTTTCAGGGTAGACTCAGTTTGCAGGAAATTTGGCTGTCTTCACAATTTTCTGTTGCATGGTGTTGAAATGCTCTCAGAAATGGATATGTAACTCTGCATTTTGAAACACTGCAGTTAGGAACCCGAAGGCATGTCTAAAATAGGTTTAGAGTTTATTATTAGCATTTCATTTTTTACAGATGGCATGGAAGAAGAGGGAATAGGTTGCAAGAAAATTCTCTTCTGCAGGCTCAACAACTGGATTTACGTAGGGAGTACAGCTGCCTGTAGGTGCAGAGAGGTGTCTACGGGAAATTCCAAAAGCACCTGAGTGAGTGATGTGCCTAATCAAAGTGAACTCTGAAACGAGTGAAATTCCAGATCTGTTCAAGTGCTTTTCCGACACCAGCAAAGAACTTCTTTGCACTGCTAGACATCTAAGTATCTCTACAAGATATCCCCTAATTAGTAGAAGCTGGCAAGCAAAAGGAAAAGGGCTGAAATGTTTTGCAATTTAATAAATATATTCTGCTTCTGGGCTAGGAAAAGTTTTGTTTTCCTGAGTGGATTTTCTGAGTGTAGCTCTGACTCAAGTTACTCTGGCTAGGTACTCTGCTGCCTCGATATGGCACAACACAGCAACAGTAAATAAGATGAGTGGCAGTCTCCATGGAAGGATTATTTATTTACACAGTGACATGATGTGTGTCTTCCTGCAGTGATGCCACCACATAATTCCTTTTTTTTCCTATCACCAGCTTCCCCTGAGGAGACAGGATGATGTTAGCTGATGTGTTGCCAGTTCATCTGAAAGAGGGAGCTTTTAATGAGGTGGTGCGAGGCAAGTGGGGCTGCTGCCTATCACACAATCACTGCAGATACTTTTTCATGTGAATGCTATGTACTAGAGAGTACTGAGAAAATTATACTTACTGACAGAAATCAAAAGAGCCTAATTACAGTGATTATTATAGAGAGAGTTAAAGAATGCATGTCAAAAGGGACTGATATGTAATTATGATAATATCAGTTGCAACTCCTGTCCTATCTAATCACTTGGAAATGGGTGGCATTGTGCAATTTTTTTGAAAGTGAGCTACTAACAAAATTATATAATCTTATTATGAAATTAAAATTATATTGAAAGAAAAGTAAAATTAATATATTGGTAGGAGTAATAATCAAAGAGACAGCACTAAATGTGCTTGAAAGACAGTACAAACAGAAACCCACCAAATGTCTCCAACCCCAAATCTGCTACACGTTTGGCTCACACAGTGTCAGAAACTGAGATGCTGCACATGCTGCTTACATTGGCAGTCAAAATCAAGACATGCTGACATGACAAGAAGAGAATCAACATGAGTGGAGGAAGAAAGGAATAAAACGAGGAAATATTACTAAAAATGGGAAAGAGCATAAATCTAGCAATCACAGAGTTGAATTTTGCTACAGTTTTGAGTGTTTCCATGTGTTGAGTTTGCTCTGGATCCCCTGAGGTTCTCCAAACACCCACTGGTGTTCAGGCAGTTTGGATTAAGGCACAGGCATCTTTAAGGGTGGAGGTTCTTCAGTTTTGGTTTCTCCCTGGCTGTATTTACACTGATAAAACTATCAGCAATACTTGATATAAGTAAAATAGTAAAGTTATTATTTTAATTTGGCATACATTTTGTTCATCACAGATGTAATTTAATTATACAGAATTAATACTACTATACCTACTATAACATAATGCCATCTGTTGACAAATAACCTGGACCTTAGAAAACTCTAATTTTTCCATTAATTAGAAATGAAAATATTTGCACAATCACATGCAAGCCCACAGACCTGCTGACAGGTCCATGCTCCTAATTATGGTGTAGCCTAGAAAGATCAACCATTATTTGAACAATGACATCAACAGATTGTCAATTACTAGTGGTTTCCAGATTTTTGTGACCATCGTGGGGAAATACCAGAAGTTTCATGGATTTTCATGGCTACTGCATTGTCATCAGTCTAGTAATGGAAAATAAGACTGAGTAAAATGTTTAATATTATTCTATTTTCTACTTGGATTTCATTTATCTCATGAATTGCAGTTTGGATCACTTCCCTAAGCTTTAATCATTTTATTTAATAGCAGAAACAATCTCATTTATTAGTAAAGTTTACGTATCTTCTCTAAAATTTTAAAATGAGAAAAGTAGAGTGGCAATTAGTCAGATCCTCTTATTTACTGCAAGTTTAGTAAAGACATTTCTGTGTACTGCAACCTGTTCCCAAGAGATGCCACAGAATGAAAAAAATCTGACTTAACTGTTCCTGTCTTTTTAAAATCATTACAATAATTCCTCATTTAATCTAAACTTGTGGGTTTTTTGTACAAGAACAAAAACATGAAATACTTTTCTAATATGAATACTTTAATTGCTACACATTTTCTTAAAGAAAATTGCATGTTTAGAACTCTAACTTGTCTTTAACATCCAACTAAATTAATATTTTAAATCTCTGCAGAAGATTGAGTTTTGCTCCTTTGAGTAGCATATTGGTTTTGAATGTCAAGCAGACAAAAAGAAATATAAGGTTTTTAGAAAGAAATATGAGGGTTTTAGGTGATCAGGTTTTCACTGACAAATCTGTCTAATTACAATAAAATATGCCAGATCTAAACAATTTGAGAAAGTAGGATACATGATATTTGAAATTTGCAATAATTTTTATATGTTATTCTATTTACAACGATTCAATGTAGGAGCTGTTAAAAATTTTATCCAGTTTGTGAGGACCATGGTTGAAGTGATTAACAGTGATTAACCATGCAAGACCGCAAAGGTTTTTTCCACCCAGGAATTTTACTTGATGAGATTGAAGTGTGAGAAATAATGTAAGTTTATCATTAAACCTATCATCTTACAGAAGAGAAAAAAAATGAAGCAACACCTGCCAACAAGAAATCAGCCAACAAAAAAATCCACTGACTACACTGCTGCCCAGGCTGGCAGAGCAGTCTCAGCCACATTTCTGGCATCTACCAGAGGCTTTCTTACCTTCACTGCAAACTCTGTTTCTGTAGCTTTATGGACACATCTCTTGCACACTGAATAGGAGCCAATTCCTATGTCTTCCTTGATCTCATATCCATCTGTAAAGTGAATGTTGTTCCCATGTAACTGCTACAGGGAAAGACAAAAGAAACAAGGTAATCAGAAAGTAAAAGCAAGGATTAGCCTTCTCTTAAAGGAGGTGCTTGATCTCATCTCCCTCACAGATCTTTCTTGTCCTTAGCAGTTTTTCTAAGTCCAGTTAAAAAATTCTGAAGCTCTTTATTTAAGCAAATAAGTACATCTTATCCCTTTTTACCTTTTTGTAGTCTACAAGATGGAGCTGTCCATGTAGGAGTAATGGAAAAACTGTGGTGGATTGCAGAAAACCAATATCTATTAGAAATTCATAGGAAACTGTGGGCCCAAATCTCCTGAAAAACCCGCATATCTTGACAATATAAACTTATTTCTAACTATTGAGGGCAGAAAACTTTTAAGATACTAATGGTTTCACAGTCTTCAAAAGAGATATCCCACATATGTGAGGCGCCTCCAGACCACAGGAGGTCTTGTTTATGTTTAATTATGGATTTTGTGTGAGAGGTTACTATTTTAAGCTATTAATCCATATGCCCTTTGGAAAATGTCTGGGCAGGTGGACTGGTTAAACGGTGAAACCCGAATCTAAGGCTTTGCTGCAAATTCCATCCCAGGACTAAAGAAACAACCAGCAGCTCTAAAAATCCTCTATAATACTCTGTCTAAATAAGTAACCTTGCTAGCAAAGTCCACACAGAACCTGCTACGTTATAGGACATGCGTATGTTAACATTCAATACATTTTTCCAAAGCAAATCACAGGATATGCTTAACACTTCTGGTATGTAATTGCTTGCTTAACATTTCACGTACTTTTGCATAATAGCATCTTTAATAATATAACATAGTCCACTGTAAATTATTAAAATAGGGATGAAAACTACAGACAGGGGCTCTCTCCTTGAGACACATACACCTTTGGTTGTGGGTAGGAGATGAACTTTTTCCTAGTGAGAAAATTCACTGCATCTTTAAGCAGCCCAGTTATTTTTCCTTATTTACTTATCATCTGATGCACTGAGCCTTTTGTAGCAATTTATTTCTCATTTAAATTACAACAACTGTTGTATGTTGTATGTTGTATGGGAATGGCAGCAAAGGACCAAGTGTCTGGCAAGTCTTTCCCCCTGCAAGTCAAGCCACCCTGCTTTAGGTAAGTACACCCAGGCTTTTGCAATAGCAACAGGAGTATGGTAGCCTCTTACACCCATGAGCTTGGGCTTTGTGTCTTTAAACCCCTTTGCCGACACAGACTGTATCATCTAATCCAAGACAAAACTGTTGAGAATGACGTGAATTCAGTGAAAAAAACCCACTTCTTTACTTGCCCTGCATGTACAACTGGAATAATATTTTAGCTATTCAGAAGTACTTTTCATTTAAAGTGTGATAAAGTGCAGTTCTTATTTCCTTTGCAAAGGTTGTAGGGAACGTGAACTTATGAATAAATGATGTTGGGGAAAAATTCTCATTTTCCACCCCCCCTGTACACTGCATGTAAACACCTCCTACCTACAGCAGGCAGCTGTGAAATACCAGTGGTAATGTTGAGTCAGTTCAAATACACTATACACATATGTATCTGCCCATCAGATATGAAGTGTACTGTCAGCATCAGTACCTGCACAATTGGGTGAACAGTCATTTTGTGCACATCTTGCTGTGCAGGCTCCTGCACCAAGCTGGAGGCAACAAAGCTGAACCCTCTGAAAAGATGATGAGCATTGGCACTTGGAGGAACACCTGGGGAATCTGTAGGAGAAGGAAGAAAATGGCCTCATGAGCTGCATGGAAGAACAGCAGGAAGAGCACTGCACCCACCAGAAAGTCTCCCCTGCCAGTCAGTAGCAGATCCTGACAAAGTGGCAGATACATGTGAATATAATTCACCCCCATATCAAGGCTTTCATAGAATCATAGAGTCAGCCAGGTTGGAAAGAACCTCTGAGATCATCAAGTCCAACCCTTGATCCACTACCACTGTGGTTACTAGACCAATTTGGTATGCCTTCTTCATTCCTTTCCTCTGGATATGGATCTTTCCTCTTGGATACAGAGGTTTTTTTCAAAGTGCATGTTCATTCTTAGGCAAAGTACTGCTGAGAGTCCACACACACAGAGAACTTACAGGGCAGTGAGGCTAGGAGAGAGACAGAAGACTCAAGCCAGGGCATCCTTTGACTTAGAAAAGGTTCTCCAGGCAGTGCAGGAAAGCTGCAGGCTGCTATATCTGTCCTCTGCAGCACAACTTGACTACAGACATTACAAAAGCTAGTGGTATGTTGTGTGAGTTAGGAGAATGTAGAGAAGACATGAGGAAGTGTTAGAGCACAATACTCCAGTAGTGGTGGTTTGTGGCCTTATAGGTATCCTCTTATAGGGAATAGCTTTAGGACCTGGGACCTACTCCAGGGAAGACACTGTTTGACTTGTCCTCAGGTGAACAAAACAACTAGGATTGTTTTAACTAAGCTTCATGGAGATTTTCTCCCTATTCCTTCCCCTGACATGGCAAAACCAAGGGAGGAATGGCTGGAGTTCAGAAAAACCTGAATTATTCTATCTTTGGAATGAAATAACTAGAAAGCAGTTTTCCTAGTACCTGCACCACTCCTCGGTGAAGGAAAAAGCATGACAAAGCAAGAAGAGAAGAGCTGTGCTTCACTTAAAATTCTGAAAATCTTTAAAGAGATCTCTCTCCCCAGTGTATGTTTTATCCCAGTATTTTCATAAGCAAGAAGAGTCACTTTGGAAACCATTCCTTGCTACCTGGCTGGGTATTATAAAACCTACAAATACTAAAATTTGCTGACCTTTTAATTTGTTTTTTTCTGGGGGTTGGTTTTTTATGTCCCCTTCCCTTCACTTCCTCCAGTGAAACATGTGATGGACCATGACAAAGTTACAGAGCTAAACCTCCTTTAGAAAGCTGTGTCCTTGTACTAAGTGTGTAAATACTCAGTTATCCAAAGAAAATACATCCCCACTGGACCTTATATCCGACTCATCTGCCTACACCATCAGTACCACCCATTAGTGCATAGGGCAACAGCACGAAAGACTGAGTATTGCCTGAAGCCTTGAAAATATGTGAGAATGTGTATTTCTTACTGTGCAAACTCCCTGTATAAATCTACTGGTCAAATGAACGGAGGATCTGAAGCCAGAATTTGGTAAAAACAAAATATCTGCTTGGAAATAAACAAAACTGAGACTCCAGCTAATTATATTTCTCACCACAAAACCACCCCAGCTTTGACAGGAGTCAGAAATAATCACAGCAAGTCAGAGTTCAGATGGAGAAGATTGTCTTTTGGGCTACTTGTTTATCTCAGTTTGATGGGCACTCTCCTTGCAAACACATGGCTGAATCATACCAGACCTCTTGCGTCACTGGATACTTCCTACAGTGACATATATATATAACAGTGATTTTTCCAAGGGGGATTAATTAAGAGGAATGAATATTTGTTTTAAAAAAGAGAATGACAATAATTAAAATCTAAACACTCCTGGACTTCAGGAAAGCTGTGATCCAGCTCGAAAACTAAAGAGGTAGGTCATATCTTTTTAAAAATAACTGTTCCTTCATAATTTGCTGCCAACCGCTTGAGCAGCAGTAGTAGAACTACTGATTATTTGGTGTTCACTATTAGATATTCATCACCCAAAACTGATATGCCCATCATATGAATTAAATGCTAAAACATTTTTGTTAAGTGCAAAATTATGTTTAAATCATGTTAATTAACTGATAACTGAGAAACCTAAATAATTTTCCTAGCCTCTATAAATACAGAATCATTTCACATGTCTGAGTTAGACCCCCTTGCAAACACCAAACCTGTATAATGGTTATCTTTCTCCCTGTGAAAAATCATCATGCTTTGTTCCACTAGAGCATCTAAGTGTAAGGGTTTTCAAAGGCTTCTTAAATCTTAAGCAATTTCCTTCATTATGCTTCACTGGGGTTAGCAAACATTATTATCTTATTTACAGAGGGGGATATTTAGATACTTCAGGTGCAATTTTACTTATTTTTTTTCTCAGCAGTAAAGCCAGTCTAAAATATCCCTGCTGGTTACAGCATGCTGGCCCATCAATTACAACAGTACAAACATTTGTGGACTGAAATCTAAGTTGGATCACAAAAATGATCTTGGTTTGATCCTTGTTCAAATCATCATTTCTAACCTAGATTGCTTCAGTCTCCAGCTCCCTGCGAGGAGCTGAGTCACCACAAACGAGATGTGGATCCACAGTGATGAATTCAGGAAGTTAGTGGCCGGAAAAAGCAACTTCAACTTGGAAAAATCTCTGAGAAAAAGTGATGCAAAACTATACCCATAGAGATGAACTGTCAGTATCAGAAACCACATCTTTGGCACACTTTGATCTGAGGTTAGGAATGCAAAGAAAGCTGTTTCAACCTCAAGGGTAAAGAAACTCTCCGAGGTACAGAAAATCACTGGACTGGCAAGTTACTGGATCCAAAACTTTGACATAAACTTGCTTTTAGGCAGGAGAACTCATTCTTTAGGACAGACTGCAATATGTATCTGTATATCCTCCTTGGTAGTATCTTTCTGACAGCTTCATTAAAACACAACTGCATGATCATGGTGGAGGAATTATTACAGTGCTTTCTGTCTGGGTATGTTCTTAGTAACTGGGTTACATTATTTGGGGTCTATGTCAGGACAGAAAAAACACGAAATGAAAATGGTTTTTGTTCTATTCTACTGGCAATACGGGCCAGTATTACACACTTTTGTGATGCTCACCCAAACAGTCAACAGTCAGGATCTGCAAAATATCCTGCCAGTCTGCAAGGGATTTTCCATCATTCTAGAAGTGTAAAGGCATTCACACTTTGAATTACACCTATTTTGAAATGACATGGTTTGATTCTCAGGCCACTTTCCATAGCAGCCCAAAGCAGAATTGAGTGAGGCCATCTGCCCACCCCAGCCACAGCCTTAAGACAAAACTTCCACGTCAGGATCTTGTACAACATATCAAACTGAATTAAGCAAGAGTAGTAACACGCAGAGTGTAAAATATTGCCCCAGGCATCAGCACAACCAATGAAGTGTGAACTTCCAAAGCAATCCAAATTCTTAATGCTTCTTTGCAAGTCAGTGAGACTTCCCAGGGCAGCACCAGAGACTGCACTTCTCTCAAGATCAGACTGATTTGCAGACTCCAATATTTCAGAGAAATTAGTTCCTCCGAAATCTAAATGAAAGCTAAAATCAGAGGAGGGAATTGCCTGGTATCCAAAGATCATTTGCTTCCACGCAGTGGGATAGGAATATTAGAACATGACCAAACATACCGGAGACAGGTGGATGTTCCAGCTGGATACATATAAACCAGAGTGTAATATTTTTAGTGTTTGCATAAGTCATCATGTCCTTGCCTCCCAAAAAAGCAAAAACTAGGAATCAGTTGATAAAAGATTTAGAGTAGATACCGTTATTTCAAACCCCATGAAAAGAAGTTTGGGTCAGGCCTAGAACAGTCATTTGGGCTAGTTTTAAGAAAAAAAATGGTGCAGGTCATGATCAGTTTGAACAAAAATGACAGGATATCTCAGCTGTGCTTCATGTGCTATTATGTGGGTGTTTTTGTAATGGTCTTTCACTCCTACTGCAACAGTTCTGGGGCAATTTGCGGGTTGGAGCTCAAGACCTTATACTTGGTTATTACAACAAGACCATGTGATATTTACAGTTCTTACCATCTTCAAAGTGTTTTACAAACAACAGCTAATTAGATTCTTACATCTTAGAATGTATAAATAAATACTTCTTTACAGGAATATCACAAGCAGAAATGTAATGTAACCTATCTGAATCTAGCAAGAGCAAATACAAGTGGAATTACCACTCTGACATCACTAGTATTCTTGCTTTCCACCGAAAAATGGAGTTTTGTGCAACAATCACCTTCATATACAGTGCACAAAGTGTGATATTCCTGTTAGGAAATAGAAGTTACACGAACAACATTCTCACTGCAAGCACTTTCTAAATATTGTGGGCCAAATTTCCTGTTAGCATAACCATAACTCTGCTGATCTGAGAACTTGATGATTCTTCATTTCTGTTAACCACATACTAAGTAATTTAAAATAGTTAAATTCAGCTAGTGTAACCAATAGTGAGGAACAAAATAGCAAATCAACAGCTACTTTTCCTTCTAAAAGTGTGAAATCTGTGCTTCCTTGAGACAAATCAATCTTTGCATCTTGCTGGATGTTGCAAAACCCTGTAATTCCACAGGTGATTTGACTTTAAGATCGTGTTGAAATAGGAAGTGGAAGGAAGAATGAAATTACTAACTGAAAAGCTATATTACCATGCACCACCTTACTAACCTGTGGGAGTTCGAGATGTGAACTCTGGATCAAAATGAAAGGTGTCTTCTGGCCGTCCCACTGCGGGCTTGAAAGGCGGCTTGATTTCTTTTCTGTACAGTTTCTACAAGGAGAAGAACAGACCACAATCAACATGAATGTGTTCACCTTCAGTATCTGGAGATAGACTCCCCCACTTTCTTTAGGGTGCCCTCTCCCAACTCTGTGGTATCCCTGCAGGACTGACAGAAAAGGAGGACATATCCATGGCTCTGGCTCCAGGCTGGCTTAGAATCTGTGCCCTGGGTGGTCCCTGGACTTTTTAGCTACTGCAATCTGGAATACAGACACAAATGTTTCTGGTGAAAATTTATCCCATAGACTGGTACAGTGTTCCAGTTGTGGCCTCTGGAAATTCACCGGTCTAAGAACAGGACTGGAATGTGCAATAGTATAACATCAGGAAACAGGGTGACTTTAGCGGCACAGCAATGGCTATCAGCACAAAGAACCACTAGGAAGCTGAGACTGTTTTAGCATTTACTATTTGTCAAGAATTAGCAACATGTTTGACATGCTGCCAGACTGAGCTGAGCAACAGGCTTGACTGCCTGGTCCTTACAACCTAAACAAGAGACTTGTTCTTTTGGTATATCTGGTAAAATAGAAGGGGGCTGATAGCTGAGGATTAGATGAAATTCCCATCAAAATATGCTACAAAGAAAGCCCAGTGGATGGGTGGGAAATCACATTGAAGGTCTAAATGTGGCTTGAGCTGAGGAGTAAAACCAAGGAAAAACATAATCAAGAGAGGAAGGTAAGCACTGCTAGGTGTGTGAGATTCTACTGGTGAGTAAGGGTCTTGTAGGGGATCACCTAAGTAATAGGCATTATAAATTCATCCTAATACACTGCCTTTATTATGAGGGACTTCGTGGTCTCTTAATTCACCCTTAATGATCTTTAAGAAATTGCTACACTGTGCTCCTTTGCAAGCATTCAAACACACAACACATACACACATTTTAGATGATGAACAAACTCAGGTGCAGCATGTCTCGATCCGATCCAAAGCCTCTAGAAGTTAATGGAAAGAGCCTTTTGCATCATCTCTGCTTGAAATGGCCAAAACTGAATATTATGTTAATGGCAGCATGGGTAACAGAGCTTCAGTTTGACTCCCCGCCCCATGTTTTAGTCCCTAAACTGCATTGCCTTTCTAGAAATGCTTTTGTTCTCAGGTTTCAAAGGGCTGAATTAGTTGCCACAGACAGTTCCCCACAGTGAACATGTCTGAGCATAAATATAACATTTCATCCGAACTTTCAAGCATGATAAGAATGGGAGAGTTCACTTTATGATTGTTTGTAATATGTATTTTTAGGTTAGCTCTCAAAACAACTTCCTAATGAGCTAATTTTTCAAAATATTTAATGGAGATTAATAAATGCTTGTCCAGCTCTTTGCATGCAGGATGATTCTTTTTAACTCTGGGTTTTGTGGTGAATTAACTTCTGTAATATAAAGCATGTGGTTAAACCTAAGATATACACACATCACCATAATTTGAACCTGCTTTTGCATTGATAAATAAAGGTTCTTGAAGCAGGAAATTCTGTAGCATAGTATTAGCCTTAATAGAAAGGATATGTTTATGGTTGAATTCCTTGGAAAAGTGAAATGGTGAGCCTGAATATAATAATTAATGGCCATTTCACCATAAAAGTTTCTGCTTGCATAAAACTGCTCTGTATCTTCTAAGAGAATAAGAGATGAAAAACTGCTGTGAGCCACAATGCAAAGCCAAATAATTAAAAGCCAATTTCAATATTAGGCAGGAAGTGTCCCTCATCAGCTGGAAAGTATCAACATAGCAATTGAGATACATCTTTTTTTGTCTGCACAGAACTTTAAAGGGAACTCACTCAGCACCTACTGAACGCATTTCTATTGCTAGGATTTCACCTTGAGAAAGCTATTTGCTTCCAGCTTCCCTTTATTTGTCTTAATTCACAACTGCAGTGCTTCTACTGCAGAAAGCAATATGGTCACATGCACGTGCTTCTGCCCTGAATTAACTGTACCGCTTATCCTGTGAGGTCCAAAACCTGGAAAATGTTTTAGAGCTGTGCATCATTCAGGAACTGCACTCTCTTTTTATTATCGTAACTGTATTCTCTCTGGCCTCTTAATTCCTTCACCCGTCTGTAGTTTCTTAAGTGCTGTTGGAGCTACATTTGTGTTTTGAATCCCTAACCCACATCCTCCACTACAAGGGAGGGATTTAAGATTCATCATGAGTCACCTACCATCTAAAAATGTGTAATCATGATGTTGCTTTCTGGAAGGGATGAAAATGAAGTTGCTTATGCAAGTGAAAGGCACTTCTGAGCACAACCCAGATGACTCCCTTTTCCTTTTCTACTTGTGATAGAAATTATTTCTGGTGTTTCTGACTAGACAACAGAACAGTAAAAGGTAAACTGCCTAAAACTTTTTTCCCCAAGCTCTTGAATCAGGTAACTAAATTGAATCATCAAGGAAAAGCAGAGAAGTGTCATCTATGGCCTTTTCCATCCCAAACTAACTTCAGTTCTCTGAGTGAATGGCAACAACCAAAGCGAAATCACTAAACCACAGGCAGCCCAACACAGTTAAACATGAGGGCCTGCTGCAGGCAGAATGCCTCTTCCTTCAAAAACCTGCATCCTGTAGAGAGCAAAAACGTGACACAAGCTGATCTAAGAAAACAGTAGGAATCACAGCCATTGTTTTCTATACACAGAGAAAAAATCACTTGGAGGATTTGAGATCCTTCTGGATTTTTCAAGAATATTTCTGATTTTAGGAAACATATTAACCTATTATCCCTTATCATTGTCCCAAAACTATTCAGGGCTGATGTGTCTTGACCTTGACATCTTCCAACAGAAACCAACCAGGGTGGCAAATGACATAGCAAGTTAAATTTCAAATCTTGTCTTTGACCATTTCTATCAGGCTGTCTCATAACTTCTGGTAAAGTTTAAACAATTATGTACTTTTCAAGTCATGGTAATACTGGTTCTGTATGCAAAAGTCACTGTGAGTTCCATCATCCATTTAAATGTGAACCAAATCCTAGTTTTCTCAGTTTAAATCCCAGTTTTGATATCCACATTATTGTTTTGGATCTTATTAGGCGTTCAAAAGAGACTTTGGATATGTAAGTGCTTCCCAGTAAAGAATAATCTCCCACATCCTATCTCCATTTTTTTAAACTGGCCACAGCATTGACTTAGCACAGAAAAATGTGACTGACAGATATCAGGAATCACCGTGTATCATACAGAGCTGTCAGATCCAGAGGCTGTGCTGAGGGAGTGCATAATTCACAAAATGAGGAAGATGAACTCTAAGGTGTGAAAGTACTGATTTAGATATTCTCACCTGGATACACATCCATGCTTCTGTCTACTTATCAACCCCTCACATCCTTCTGAGACTTTGATAATCAGTACCTTCAGATTAAGAAGCACCTATGAATTAACTGGAAAACAGTTCTACACAAGTTTGAGAAACTATGAGCTTCTATCAACTGCCTTTCTGATTTCAGATAGAAACATTTTTATTTGAAATAACTGATTTTCCTCCAAGTCCCAGTGACCTTTTCTTAAAATACGTTGCTGGGTCTCTAATATGAGCTTCATCTGAACACCTCCTCAGCTGGAACTCAATACTCCAAGGACTACAGTAACAAAACGCTGCAACATTTCGTGTCTTTCTCTTCTTAATGATAAGCAGTTAATTTTTCATCATCTTTTTAAAAAGTGCACTCCTAAAAAACCCCAGAGATGTAAATGTTCTGTAAATGTGCCTGGCAAATATCAAGAAGAAGAAAAATGTTTTAATTTAATTAAAAACTATTTAGTGATTTCCTCAACTGAGTTTCTTTGATCAAGAATTATTCCTTAGGTATCTTCTAGAAATAGAAAGATGATACCCTCCACAGTGGTGCACATGTAGAGTGAGAATAAACTCCCTTGATACATATACCTGTCATGGAAAATCCAATAAGCAGACAAAAGGATGAACTACATTCTAAAATGTTTGTTTTCTCCTAGATTAACAGTTCAATGATATTGCCTGCAAACAATAGAAAAGATAGCAGAATTTAAACCTTGAGGTTAATTTTTGCTGTTGGTAAAACCCGCAATTAATTCATACTTCCAGTTTAGTTTGATCTCTGATTAGTATTGAAGGAAAAAGAACTTGATTCCGCTTTCCTCCCATTCCTTTCCTCAGCTGTATTTGACAGTTTATTTTCTAGCATGTCATTTACTCTGGTTCCAATTTAGCCTGTTGTCCAAACAAAAACTACTGTTTATAGCCCACTCCTACAACTGCAGTCTCCAAAAAGGGATTTCATTCCTCATTTTCAATGACAAACCAGAAATGCATCATGCATGGTCTGGAAAGAAGAAACAGTAATTAAAAAACCCAGGAACCAGACTGTGCTTTCTCAGAGCCAGTGACTGAAACCATCTGAAGTCAACTTGGTTTGGGTCTGCTTGTCTTAGGAAGAAAGGGGTTACAAGCTTAGTAAGCAGGTAAAACTGTCAAGGAGCTTTGCATCTAGCCTCCTTCCTGAGAGGCCCAGCCTTGATCACAAAAGACAGTCCATTAATTTAAAAACAGATTTACTGAATTTGCATCACAGTGCCTACTAAACGCCTTAGAGCAGTAAGACTGATAGCTGCAGAAATCCTAATCTATTTTTCACCCTCTAAAGTGGGAATTTAGAGCTTTGTTATGGGGTCACAACAGCTGTAAAAATGAGATTCTTACAGAGATTAGCTCATGTCAAAATTTAAGTCTGGGCATGAAAACTCTGTGTCAGATTGTCCACAGTTCATTTAGTACAGAAGTTAACCAGAAGTTAAACCTAGGGTGACTAGAGATTTTGCAGAAGAATGGCACTCTGGAACATGGGAATGGCATCTGCAAAAGGCCAGGAGGAGGAGGGTTGTTCTCTGGCCACACTCATGTTTTCCAGGATGGTATTTACTGTCTCTGCACAGAGTGGTCACTTGCTATCAGCACGGATGTGCTTGGTAGTCAGCATCTGCAGTGTTGTAACAGGGGCCATTTTTACACTGTGTTGTTTCCATTGCCTTCAAGCAAACCAGACACTGTATGTGGTTGTGTCTGTTTAAAGACAGTGAGAGACGGGAAATAACTGCCCCAACAGGTAAACACATTTAAAACCCAAGAGAACAGCTCTGAAAATACTCTGAAATGATGGTCCGAGTCATACGTTTCCATCTGTGATTCTAATGACTTCATCACTGCAATATCTAGACTTCACACACAACTTAGAAGGAATAAGCTAACTCATTTCTGCTTTGAATCTCTTTTTAAAATTAAATGATACAACTTGGTGGTTTGTTCCTGATTATCACATCACTCTTGCAGGAAAAATCATGCTTAGAGAAAAGACCTGATTCACACTGCATTTCCAGCAGACACTAACCCGTTCTGACCCTTCATGATAAGGGAGCTTTTGATGGCGGATCAAAAGCTGAAATTTTCTGTGCTGTCAGTCACAGTAGTCGTATCATAGCTGCCAAGGTAGTACAGAAGTTCTCTAAAAGAGCTTGCTTCTAGCTCTCTGAGGTCTTTATATTACCAAGGCATAAAGTAAATGAACATTTCTGTCCTGCCTCAACAGCATTGCTTGCTGACTGCCTGCAAATTGATGTGAGACATTCTGTATACATTAGCGGAGAACAAAATGAGGGCATCAGGGACTCTTTTCCTGCAACCATATAGAGATCAGCCATAAATATCTGTGTCTGATCCATTTCTGTTCTCTCTTCTCTGACCCTGTTCCCTTTCTGTTCATGGGGAACATGTTAACAGCTGGTTGGATGATCACTGCAAGTCAAAGTCCTGGCTTCAGCTCAGGGCCAGGCTGGCTCACATTGCTCTGAAATACATACAATACTGTAGCTGCTGTAATGAGATAAGCCTCCCAAGATCTCCATGAGTGATTGGAAAATTAGAATAAAATGAGGAAATATATTACAAAGATGACAGCTGATCTGTGTAATAATGATCTGTCTCAAAGAAAGTGCAATAAGCACTAACTGCGTTGGATTAAAATGGATCTTCACAGCTACATTTTACAGCAGAGGTAGAGGACTAGATAAGACATCAAAGGGCAATTAAATCCATGTTCCTCTCTAGCCCCAAGGCATGTTCAAGCATACCTGTCTTCTTCGTGGCAGATATTTCCCTGTCCATAAGAGCTGTTTCAAATGATGGAGGACTGTTGAGTTTCCTCAGGAATTGGAAGGAAATTGTTCCCTAAAGAACTGAGCTTGAAACAATCACCAATTATCATGACAGAAGGTGGTCTTGAGGAGTCTCATGGGACAAAACTGACTTTTCTGAAAACCTTTCCAAGACGCAGAGCCTCATTTATCTGTGATGGGTTAGTGAGCTGTTCCACTAACAAACACAGAAGAAAAACCCTCTCATTGCTCCAGTGCTTCTTATTACATCACGACATATTCATCTGACCTGTATTTTGATTGCAAAGCTGAGGACTGTGGAAATATAAGAGGATTACAGATGATGATGATGATGATGATGATGATGATAATAATAATAAACAACCCAAGTCTTCCGAATTCCCTACTTTTTATTTTCACTTACTGTTTCCATTAATGTAAAGTCATCATACAGAATTTCATAATTAGTAAGAAGCAGAAAAGGAAAGAATCTACAGTCCAAAATGTATGTCCAGGGACTAAAAGTCAGCTGGACCATAAAGTCTCAAACTCCATTTTTCATTGATCATATTTTAACATGCTTATGAGTCATGCCAACTCTTCAAAATGCTACTCAAACTGGGTTTTTCTTATAAGTTTTTCCAAAATAAATGATTTTGTGGTCCTTTCAAAGGCTACTTGGGCACCACAAAATGTTCTTTCACAGAGGAATTAGCTTTAATGCGAAGTCTTGGGCAGCAGTTTGGGAATGGCTCTGTGAAACACATTCATGTGGTTTCACCAGAATTTATCTAAAGAACTGCATCAATGTGACCTGTTACACTAGCATTTTTGAGTGCACACATTAAATATTAAAGAGACATAACAATCATAACACAGGTTGGGTAAAATTAAACTAGAAAATGCTAGAGGAATGTGGCAAACGGGAGCTCTGGTGCACTGATAGTTGTTCAGATCACAAATGAAAAATGTTTGCTTCCAGGTTTGTCTAAAAATAAATTGATTTGAACAAATAAGATGCTGAAAATGTGAGGTTTAACCTCACACATGTCTAAATCAAATACGTAGCTAATCTCTACCACCAGCTTTATGAGCTGTAGCTGACAGCAATAAAAGAAATCCTTGTTTACCATTCTGTTAATCACCTCTGACATGTCTTATTTGAACCATGTTTTATTTGATCAAATGTCTGCTGTTCCAATTTTGAGTGCTGATGTTAAAATAATAGCTCACCTCAATAAAACATCAAACACTTGTAAGAGGAGCTGACGCTGCCAGTTCTGGCTGGTTGACTTGTATGCTCAGAGGTGTAAAATCATGCTTTTGAAAATCCATCTATTTTGTGCTTTTCTAAAGACCCCATTGCAATCTAGTGGAAGGGGTAGATACTGTCCTATGGTCACTTAGGCAAAAATGACAAGAATGGGTTAACAAAGCTATCCTGTTGGAAGATTTATGATTCTTCCAGCATAAAGCAGCACAACCTGTTGTACAGCCTGGTGTACCAGCTCTGTGGATGCCCAGACAGTCCCAGTAGAACCATGTTGAATTTAGGAAAAGAGTGAGCCTGGAGGTCTTGGAGCTCCTTGGAGCTACTGTTGGCAGAGATGTAGAAGCAGACCTGGGGCTGCTCTGAATAATTCTAAGAGAGAAAAGAATACCTGAAGGTCTCTGATATTGGAAAGAATAAAACTCACTTTTAGTCCAGCCTGCTCAACTGAGTGAGGAGGAACAAGTAGTTCAGTACAGAACATAAAAGCAAAACGATGGACGAACCTAGAGCATCAGATTGATTCCTTATGAAGTATCTCTTTCAAGCCCAGTCCTTTGGCTCTTTTTGCTTTTACAACTGAATACTACAGGAATTATTTCACCTAAAGCTACTCATTTTCACTCCAGTCGAGCTCCCACAACTGAAGTCTCATATTTATTAGAGCTGAAGGTGAAAATTATTCTGCAGAATGCTGCAAGTAGCCTCAGGTAGTATAATGATTAGACAGACTATCAGACAAAACAGAGACAAGAAGTTAAAAAAAAAAATGGCAACGCTGAAAGCAGCTTTCTCTTCCTTTCATTTGTGGGTATATGAACAAGCATATATATAGAATCATAAAATCATTTACATTGGAAAAGACCTTTAAGACCAGTGAGTTCAACTATAAACCCACCACTGCCAAATATGTATGCAAGAGAGACACAGGAATCCACTGAAAAGGCTCCTGGGTTCTCTGTGTTAGAGAATGCCTTTTTTCCTAAGTATGGAAGTTTGTCTTCATAAAATTTAGCTAAGAGAAAAAAATAATAAAAAAAAATCAACTCTGCTCCACTTACGTTCCAATCTATAGTAACAAAGAAAGGATGACGTTTAATTTCTTCCACTCCATCAAATCCAGCACCTGGCAAGAGAATGAAAGAATGAAAATGAAGTAATGCTTAGAGGAGTGTTGCATGACATCTCTTTTTCAGTCTTCCTCCCCATCCCCCCCTTTCTTCTGACAAAGTCAGAAGTTACCATATAAACGCATCTTCTAGTCAAGGAACCCTGCACAATACAACTTCCATAACAGTATAAACTACCAAAAATACAGACAAGGGCACTTCATTAATGAGAATCTGATGGTTTAGGGTTTTTACTTTTCTCTAATTGAGGACGCTGCCAAGGCTGAATAGCTGCACGTGCAAGATTGAATGATTTTAGGCACAGCAAAACACATGCACCAGAGAGGTCAGGAGAGGAGGCCCCAAGACATCCTCATAGTCTGGAAAGGCTACAGCTGCTCCCTACCACCACCAGTGGCTCTACTATGTGCACTGACTTTCAAATCTTGACTAGCTACCTGTTCTTCACAGGCAAAGAAAGCTGCACGACAAAGAAGTGCAGATTCAAAATACCAAGAGGCTCCAAATGATTTGATATAACCTAGGGTTTTAGATTTCCCCTTTTCAAATATTGTCTTCAAATTCCTCTGAGTACCAAAATCATCACTCTCAGTGTTACGTTTCCTCCAGTATTAAATTTCTGTTACATTACTATAGGAATTTGAGGGAAAGTCCTCTGAGATTGGGTAAGAAACCTAATTTTTCATTACTTTGCCTTATGTCTTCACTGAAGATTGCCTTTTTTATTCCTTTACCTCAATTTATTTGCTTCAGTGCCATCAGAACAGCCAACAGGTGCTCAGTAATAATTAAACAACTGTCAGAGATGATTTAGAATGTCATTTATGGGGTTGATTTGACTTTATTAATAGCACCCTTCATTTCATTTCAAGGAGAATTAACACCTGGAAGCAAAGGCTTTGCACTGCAGTTTTGGAATCAGTCCCTGAAATGTACCCAGCATACTTCTTTACAAGCATTCTGAGCATCCTTGATTCCCAAAAGGACCTGGGATTCATAAGTACCTACCAAGGGGCACTCAACACCTCAGAGGATTCAGCTTTTTATCTGCGGTATTTGTACTTTCGGAAGATCAACATTACAAGCACTTTTACAAAGGTCTTTTCAACTGAAGCTTTTGTAAATGTGATGTCTGCTTTCCTTGTGTACAAGACATTATCGATGTTTGCCAAAATGCAATGATCTGGAATGGCTTCCTACAGCCTGCTTGACAGTCACTGATGAATGAATACAAAAAGCAAACATAACATGCAGGATTGTCTGTCAGGCCTGCTGGATAATGATGCAAGAGAGATGATCTTCTGATTACTTCCCCACCCTGGTAATCTTTCAGTATAGACAAACTTAAGCGATGCATGAGAGGATAAACAATCCTAGCCCGCCATACAAAATTGTGTGCTCAGAGGTGATCAGCCCCACTGAGGTCTGTGGGTTATGACAGACAGACAGTTTTACGCAAATACAGCGTGAAATCAAATCTTAGAAAGAGAAGAGAGGGCAAAAGGGAGAACATCACTGCATTGTCACTGTGTATATCTGTTGTACGCCTACAACCGTACCATGAATGTTGACACACTCACCTGTAAGAGGATATACTTATGAAAAGGAGGAAAAATCAAAGGTCAACAAGGAATGGTATGGAATGTTTGAATAGGTCACCTGAAAACAGGTGACCAAGAATGTTTACAATAGGATATTAAACAATGCTAGCAGGAATCAGGTTCAGAAGACTCCTCCAGAAGAACCTGGAGATATTTTGTCAGGAAACAGACAGCTGTGTGATGTGGAATTACTTGGAAAAGATGATGCAATGCAAAATATTTATATATGCTCATGAGTAGGCCAGGAAGAGTGTTGAAAAGAAATCTGCTGAAGATTACTTCATCAACAAACCACAACAGGTTCAGGAAACCCCTTGCTTGACCTTAAAGCAGGAGTAGGGTGGGAGAAAATTTGGGTGAAGAAACACACGTTTACCCCACTCTTAATTGTCCCCAAGCAGCTGTTTATGGCCCATGCGTACTGAAGAAGAAAATACTAAGTCTTAGTATAAGACTTCTATGACTTCCCTAGCATGTTTTTTTCAGCACACGGTCTGAAGTCTGCACTAGATTCCCTTGGCAGATTCATTCTGATTTTAGCAATGCTGAGAGAAACATGAAACTGACAGTTACTTGGAAGAGAATTACATTAAGCAACTCTTCAGAGAAGAAATATCTGTGAAAAATGTTTTGTGTTCAGCAGAGGTAACTGGAAACTCTGCAATGTGCAATTGATGTTCTTAACCATGTAAAGATGAAGCCTGAGTGCCAAACTGATTTTGAAGGACTGGGATAAATGCTTAGACACTAAGACACTGTTAGCACATCCCAGACTGAGGATAACTGCTAATGCATTCAATTTTCTCTGCTCTGCCCCTTCCCTACTGTTTCTCTTTTTCCTCTTGCTTAGGCTAATGGATACATTGAGTGATGGCAATGACATGCTTTTTACAGATGATCTATTTGAAAGCTACACTTTTTCCTACTGTCGTTGTTCCTTTTTCCACAAAACCACAGAAATCAGGAGCAAGACAAAAGCCCACCCATAGCTACTTCTCTTCGTGGGAGGTTGCAATGTGCAGTAAGGTATACAGCATGCAGTTGAAGCAGGCATTTGTTTGAAAAATTCGCATTTCCCGCTTGGGGTCACTTCAGAGCCCTGGTTCAGAAGGAATATATTGTTAAGTGCAAAGACTTCATCTCTGTTTAACTTAGTATATTAAAGAGATTTAGGATGATAATAGTCTAATTTTGTAAAGAGTGAAGGACTTAAAATTCCTAGTGGCTGATTCACTATGGAGAAGGTTCATCACTTCTCGCAGTTTTTCCCAGCCATGAGATCTGCCCGCATAGCCCACAAATCCTTCTTGTGTTATGTGCTGTGGCTGCAGTGTGTGGCCTGGCCCTTGCCTCAAAGGGAGGAGGGAAATGGCCCAAGGGTATGTTCAGGGACAATTCTGGAAGCCCGAAGGGGCAACCCTGACCCTGCTGCAAAAGTCTATGGGAGACATTAAGCACTGATACTTTCAGTGGAGTCTCTCTGGATTTGCTCAGCATGTTTCAGCCATTCATCTACCATCTGCAAATTCAAAGTGGTAGTGAAAAGAGATGTGCTTTCTTGGAGAAAAGAAAAGCATCCGAGAGGTCATGACTGGAAAGTCCTGTTTCATGGAGATGGACATTTCTTGGCATAGAGATGGGTATTTAGCAAATGTCTGAAGCACAGCATGGGATGGCACACTGCATGACTGCAAACCTTTCACCTTCCTTTAGGTTTTTAGTGGTTTGGGGTTTTTTAACTTCAATGTAGTAATAAAACCTATCAGTAAAGAATAATCAGCACAATCAAACCTACTGCCTGCAAATATTCTTATGTGCCATTCAGGCCCATGAAGGTTCAAGGAGATAAGTAATTTTTTCAGATCAACTTGCCAGTTTAAACACATTATAGAGTGCAAGGATTTATATAAAAGCAGCCTCACATTAATAAGCAAGAACTTGGTTATCTAAGATTTTTTTCATGCTTGTAATAAAAGCACCTGAAAATAGCAAAACTAAGCTAAAACTGGCTCAAACTAAGCAACTTTGATTCTTTTAGCAAGTAGCTTTTTATTTAAGGACTGGTATCTAGAAACTTCTGCTGACTTCACTGGAGCCCCATTTTGGATGGATAGCAAATTGTGGGAAGCCACAAAATGAGCAGAGCAGAACAAAACCGAAAGACGGAGACAGGGAGGAAACAGCAGAAAGGAATAGAGGTTGGGAGTGGGAAAAACGTTATATTTGCTGCAGCACCTTATTTTCTGAACAGAGATTAAACCCAGAAATCCCAATACTCTATTTTTATCTAATGTCAAACAAATTACTTGAGAGCAATTGAAACCTGCTGATAAAATGTGTTTTCCCACTCTCGTGTCTACAGCATGTCAGACTGCAAGAGCTACCATTTAGGTCAAGAGGTAAAACCTCTTGGGGACATTCCCTCTGCAGGCCATGTGGCATCCCCTCAGAACGAGAGGGGCCTCAACAGCATGCTGAAGGACTGGCTCCCCATTCCTACCCAGCACTGTGCTTGGCTAGGTTGTCATCTCATCCCTGTGTGGAGCAAGGACAAAATTTGCAGTGAAAATCATGCAACAGGAATTGTCCATGACCTCATCAAATTCAATTAATTTCTTAATAAAACTCCTAAACAACTGTACAGATGACATAAGATACATTATCCAATACATCCTTCTTGTTTATCACAATTTAAATAGGATTATTAATAAAGGGTGAAGAGACATTAGTAAGAAGACCATGATACATTTAGGATAATAAAGAACAAAGCCTACTGTGAGGAATGCTCCCAGCTAACAGAATGCGACAGGATTGAAACACATTTGAGAATGGCAGAGATGAAACCTCTGATTTGCAGCTGAATTATAAAGATTTTTAAAACATACTTGTTTCTCAGTTCCCTATAGTATCATATTCAGCAGCCATCTTAAATCCTCCAGAAAAGCTGGCAGTTTATTCTCCCTCTTTACCAAAAAAAATGAAATAAAAATTAATATCATGTTTTAAATTCCAGAGCTTTACCTGTGCTCTTTGCAAATTTCTCTAGCAATGCTAAAGGTTCATTGTGCTCTGGGAAGGAATGCAAAATGCAATATAATGAAGAGGAGAACTATCAGAAAAGATGAGAGAAATGATCACCACCTGACAAGGCAGGGTGCATGTAACAAATGCCCCGATCAAATGCACATACATACCTAATCTGTTGGAGGGGTTCCTTTTGAAGAGGGCTCGCAGCAGGCTCTGGGCTTCTATGCTCAGGAATTGTGGCATTCCCAGCTTGGCTCTGAAAGAACACAGCACTTGAAAAGAAAATAGATTTTTCAAGATTTTTTTTTTTCCATCCTGCTGTCGCTGAAAAGGTGGAATTGTAGTACTCAGGATGGGCAGAAACATGAAACCAGTGTAAAAAAGACTACCTAAGCATAATGCGACACAGAGCGAGGACCTTGTTCTGCTGAAGTTGAGAAAGGTTTTACCACTGACTTCACTAGAAGTCAGTGAATCTCATAAAACCTTTTGCAATCTAAATAGGTAATTTTCCTACAGAATTTTTCCACTTTTTTAGCTTGCTGGAATAAATTTGGGGATCAAGAAGGATTTAAACAACCAAACCTAATGAAAGCAATTGTACTAAACCATATACTGTTTAAAGAGAGTAAATATTTTCTCTTGGCCATTCACTGCTACAGAAAAAAAAATGTAATACTGAGGAAAGCTTAGCTTCAAATACATATTTCTGCACTTAACATCAAAAGAATAGAAAATTTGCAAAGGAAAATATTTGAAACTTGGCAACAACAAAATATAAGGTGCTCTGCAGTAATTTGACCCTTCCCACATTTTGTGGATATTGACATTATTAGAGAAAGTAAGATAAATTCCTTTTGTAAGGCCCTCTGAGTAATTCAGTTCCTACTATTTATTCTGAAAGCAGTTTTAAGAGTCACATACAGGCATCAGCTACATGTGCCTTACCAAATTTATGCCTTACATAGCTTTGAAATCTAGGTGCACTATACCCTTCATATACTTGGGACCTATAAACTCTCTAAAGGGTAGAGTTAACTCATAGTTAGAAGTATGAAACCAGTTTCAATACTCACTTGAGAATGAGTGCCATTGTCTCCTTTCTGTCTTTTCCCTGGAAGGGTAATGAGCCTGTCAGCATCTCAAACTGTGGAGTAACAAAAAAATGGTAAATCAAATGGGTGTTGAAGTGGTCTTCATGGCTGATAGACACATCCATCTTCTATTTTCAACACAACTGAAAGCTTTAGGAAACAAAATGGTCCAACAGGCTGTGCTTCAGAAAAAAAATGACACAGCAAAACTGGATTATGCAGAACAAGACTGTATAATTTGAGAGTCTTGTTACAAACTGTTTATGCTGATACTTGGGGTCAAGTTTTGGTATGTTTGGGAAGAAGTGTCATATATGTTGTTTCCACCAGCACCTGTTTCATGATCAATGCCGGAAATGAGATATTTGGCTGGAGGGGCCCTTAGTCTGCACGGGTATGGCTGTTCTTAGGTGTTTGGCACAGACTACTGTCCATGAAAAACGGGTTCAACATGCCACTCCCCATCTTTTTAGGTTGAGACGAACTGCCTTTTTGACTGTATATTTGCACCACTTAGAGATGCTTCTGCTATATTTTGCAGGAGAAACAAGCATGAACCCCACATTCCCAAGGCATTTGAGTATACTTTTTCTCTCCTGCTTCGGTTCCCCTGGTGAATTTTCTAACTGTCACATTTACCTAAACCCAAATCTCAAAGCAAAACTCGACAATCATCATCAATTATTTGCCTAACACATGTGTGAAAGCATCAATCACTTATGGTTCCTTTGAAACAGATTAGTGCTTTCAGTAAATTCAACTGGAATTTCACATCTGTGAGAAGGAAAAAAAAAAAAAAAAAAAAAAGCCTATCAAAACCCCAGCCAAAGAAGTTGCCTTAATATGGTTGCAATTCCAGGCCTTTCACACAGCTCTTGCCATGGTGTTTCATGGAGATACATGTTGTAGCTGGTTTCTCTAAGGGATGCTGAAGGCTATGCATCATCAAACACAAAGATACCAAGAACATAATTCAGCCTGGGCACAAAGGAGGCCAGTGTCCACTGAGGGTGAGGAAAACCATTACTTGCTCATGTCTGTGACTCAGGCATTGGATCTCTTCTACTATAATAAGCATCTAATAATTAATATTCATTGCTATAACTAAATACCTGTTATGACAGGAAAGGATCTGCAAGCCTATATGCAGTTTTTGTACCTTATCCCACACGAAGCCCCACTGCTCCCAAGAAGCATGTCTGTGCTAAAAAGGATCCTTTCATTACCAAAATCTGTGTCAGACTGCTCCGCAGCCTGACTCTTCCTTTTGCTCAGAATAAATATAGCTATACCATGAGAAAAATATAGAAAACATAAGAAAACTAATGGTGAAACTGCTGTGCTAGTTTTGGGAGGAGGGCAGAGGAGAGGTTTAGAAGCCAGATAACTAACTGAATATAATTAATTGAAGGATTAATCTGCATTAGTAACAAATTACCTCAAGGCAATAAAGCCCATAGTAGAAACAGGAAAAAACCACTTTTAAAAACTGTTTACAGCTGACAAATATAAACAAGATTTGGAAAAAAAACAAATATGTTATCTTCTGCTTAGGTTAGGAGAGGCAAGAGAAGAGTTGCCTGGTAGAGCTGGAGGAAAGCAATTCATCTTCTACAGAGAAAGAAAATGGGGGACTATTTTTAAAACTGTCTAAATGACACTGGAGCCTAAATACTATTTCCAAAGTAATTCTGGCCTATTAGAGCCTCAGTCCTGATAAAAGTGTTCAGACGTACTGGAGACGAAGGGCAGAGAACGTTGCTTCCCAGGGCAGCAGCAGAAATAGTACGTATTGTTCCAAACCCTTGTGATTTTTAAAGCATTTATGTTCAGGATGTGTACCTAATGTTCACTTAAACTTGCTCATGTTACTTTGTTGTTTTAATAAATCCAATTTACAGCACTAACAATGACTGCTATGTCTCATTTATACCGGCAGTATGGGGCTTGACGCTGCTGGTGCAGATGATACAGATATAAGCAACTGCTGGGTCAGTGATACATGGGAAGAAGTCAACTCTAGTTCCCTCTACAGCTGGGAGGGAGGGAGGGAAAGAAGAAGGAAGGAAGGAGGGAAGGAAGGAGGGAATTTAAGTTGCAGGAGGGAGTAGGGGAAATTGCCATCCTGGAGGCTGCAGGGAATAGTTCCTCTGCTGCTGTAATGGCTCGCAAAATTACAGAAGAAATAGACTTAACATCAATATTTAAAGAGAAAGGCAACTACATGACTTAAGTGTACCAGTGCTTTTTACTTCAATGGACTTAACTAAGTTGCAGCTAGAAGAAAGCATTGGCTTCTCAACTGAAGTACTGACTAAATTTGTTGAAGGTTAAAAAATGAAATAACAAGACTGGAAAAAAATATTCAAATAGTCCATCAGTTAATGCTCATCAGTTAAAGCTACCACTTTACTGCACTGTCTTCCTGTTTATTTCTTTAAAAAAATCAAAAATCTTGCTAAACCTAAACATGAAAACAGAAGTGAGCACTTGCTGCTTACACCCCTGCACATAAATACAAAGCTGTATGGGTCACAGCAGGTTGACAGTAAGCTAAGCCTAGCTGACAATGAACTCTGTAGTATTTCTGGCTATTAAAGCAGTCCCTATAGTTTTGCTGGGAGACTCAGTTTTCACTCTCCCTTCCTTCCCATCCATATAAACCCTCTGTTTGCTCCTTCTTTCCCACTGATTCACTTCCTGGGTATTCTGGAGGGCCACCTTCTGCTAGCCAGTATTCCAGAAGGCTGAGCCTCCCTCCTACCTTGACTTCCTTTCTCTATCAATAATCAGCAAGAAAGGCAAATATTTGTTCCAATTAAGCTGCATATTAAGAGAACCACAGAATTAAAGGCTGATGGGAAGGGGCCTCTGGAGTCACATAGTCCAGCCCCTGCTAAGGTCTCTCCATACTCTGAAGTGCTTTTCCATTTTCAGGGCAGTCTCCAATTTCAGTAGGCACTTGAGACCCCATAAGATGTACCTCAGGGAAGACCTTGGAAAAGAGTACTACATTTGCTGAGGAAACGGATTCAAGAAGCGACCCTGGTAGGTCTTTGAGGAAGATAATGAATGAGAAAGCTTGGTTAAGTGCCATATGAATCTTCCTAACAGATGGAAGGAGAGCAGACTGTGCAAATTACTTCAGCCCAAGTCTGCTGAAGTATTGTGAGCCTAGGATAAAATTCAGGGTTATGAAGAAACTTGATACCACTCAGTTTTGGATAGCAGAGAGAGATACTCTTGGCAGAATGGCCAGGTTCTCTTCTCAACACTTCCAATAATTTTCCATGTATCTGAGACCTGCTCAAGCACTCAGTTTTATCATTTGTAAAATGCATTAAGAATTTTTCATCATTAGCTGGGTGTGAGGCGTAATGAATTAATGTTTGCAAAGGGTTGAATACCTTAACATAGCAGAGACCATAAACATTCAAAATAATGTTCATGAAGACTATTTCTTGCACTTGGAAGGAAACAAGTGTTATGACGGGATTTTGTAAAAGAAGGTTGTAATGCGTTGATGTCTTTTATTGATTTTTCCAACGCTACTGTGTAGTTACTACAAAATTGCTACAGAGCTGAATATTTTGGATACCAAAAGGACAACTTCTTTCCTTGTGAAGACTTCACTACTTACACATTCCCTACATTGCTGACATATATAAACACATTTATTTTTATTTGGGACTGCCTACTAAGTCATCATAGCTATTCTTTCTCTAATTATATTCCCCTTTCTGGTCAGAGGACTCTCAAAGGTGTTTTTTACCTGAACTGAAGCAGATAAGAACCTTCCACGAAGTCTGTGGCCTTGTAAATCAGCTGGTACAATGAACTACAAAACGACTGCTCTGAGAGGCTTTCCAAGAGACTTGTGCATGTTATAGCATGCAGACCAGTTCATCTGGGATTCAGAGATGGCAGTGTGGGCATGAAAGCTCTTGCAGTGCAGCTGAAAAAATATCCAACTTTTTAACAATTTAAGTCAGATGTCTGTTCACGCAGATTTCTTGATGCAAAACTTTTGCAGAGTATGACCTCTCCAAAATCTCCAATGCAGTGAGTAAGGTACAGAAAGGCAGAAAATGAAAACTGTCTGGTTATGATAAGCCACATAAATTCACCAGCCCAAAATTATAGTTGGGTCCCAGCAGTCATCATCACATATTTAATGAGAGGCTGGTACTGTCCTCTGGAATGCTGGAAAGGGTAAATTTCAAGATTTTTATAACTATATCCTTTGGCATATACTAAGCTACCATGAAACAATTCAAACCGACTGAAGAGAAAACATACAGAGCAGGTAAGAGTTTTGGTTCTGTGGCCTGTGCCAAAGATCTACCAGGTGATAAATGAAATTATACTGGTGTTGATGGTAAAACCCCCAGTGAATTATTAATGAAACAATTAATAACATAAAGAATAAAAAAGTCAAGATCAGAAAATAGTCATTTCCAGACAAGTTTGTTTTGATATTAATCATCACAACATGTCACATTTAAGGTTGCCTTCAAGGATCATTCAATGTGATTTTAGTCTGTGCCCTGGTGAAGGTTGGCAAGGACCCCCTAGCACAACCCAACTCTTCATACTGAAGTATTAATCCATCTTCACAGAACAGAACAGATGAAAGTGTTTAGTTGCTCTTCTGATAATGAGTTTATAGGCCATATTATAACTATCTGCCTAATATGTTCCCTCTTTTGATAAATATTAGAAAATTAATGAAAATTATGCTATCACATAAATATGAGAATTATACTATCACATATACTTCCTTTCAATCTATGCATATTCCACCAATTGGTATATTTTCTTTGTCTATTTTATATCATAATGCAAATTAATTAGAGAGAAATATAAATAATTAATTTGAATGGCATTTAATTATCTTCAGGTTTTCAGACTGTCAGAAAAAACAGCTTCCCTAATAGAACATAAAAGTAACAAACCAAGGAAAACAAGGAGAAAAGAGCAAAGCAAATGACAGCATCAGAAAATCTGCCCACACTTTTAGTGTGTGGAAATACCCTTTTTCTGTCCCAACCAGTTAAATGTTGAAAAAGAAAAAAAGATTGAACTGATTAGACATACTTTTCTCTAAGATGTCTGGTAACACTCTAAGGCTTAAAGCATAAGCATATAGTTACCAAGTTTTTACTTTCTTTAATTCATCTCCTTTTACAGGGAGTTTTATCTTTTCTAGTTCTGATACACTGAATCCCTAAGGGAGGGTTGAAAAGAGTGATGGAAGAGAAAAAAAAAAAGAAAGCCTAGCAAAAAACAGGGAGGGAGTAGCCCAATTTATTAGCTGGTGAAAGAAAAACAATCTATACACCAAATGCAATGTCATTTAAGTGGAGACAGATAGAGAGAAGGTACAACTATCTTCCAAAATTAAATATATGATAAAAAAATTAAAGGGTAGGGATATATTAATTCTATGAAATATAACCTAGGGATTTTCCTGATTAAACATATGGTTCAGAAGTGGTGAGCACCCATAAATGTATTTGTGGCCATAGGAGATAAGGATTTTCCATTCTTTTTATACTTCAGGTAATAAATTACAATATTTACTTATATTAACTGCTGTCAACTTGCTAGATCAGTGATGTAGGCCCTCCCCAACCCAAATTTCTGCTGGTTTTCACATTGCTTCCTATACTTACTTCCTCTAGTGGCACCAGTTGTCTGCTTAAGGTGAACGAAATTTAAACATACTCTATGGATTGTGAAATGTAGTGTACTATATAGTTACCTAAAATAGCTTCCATGCCACAGGAAATGGTGCTGAATTTGAAGAGCACGTTACTATGTTAATTTCTGCTTCTGCCCTGGTTCTGCAGGGAAGCTGAGATAACCGTGGTGAGGTGCAGTGTGAGCCACCGCTGTGGGGCTGTGCTGCGCTGCCTGGTGGTGGTGGTGCCCCAAGCACTTGGGTACACCTGCAGCCTGCACACTTCAGGAGAGAGCAGCATCACCTCTGTTATGTGGACATAGCCCTGTGAGAGCAGTAAGTGCATGGTGTCTGGGCTCCAAAAACCTACAGTGTTCACACAGTGTCACAAACCATCTTCTTGTTCATTTCTTCATCCTTCTCAGCACCGAGAGCACCACAGACTGAAAAGGCTGGATGGATGCAGTGGGAGAACAGGTTAGCACATGAACAGCTAATTTTAGAAGGCTGGCTTGAGGAGAGTTCAATACCTCTCTGAGAAACCTTCCTGACACTGCATTCCAGTGTCAACTACTGCAGCACACAGGAGGATGTAATTGGGTCCTTCTGATAAGCCAAGCAGCTTCACTGTAGTCTATATCTCTTGGAGCTTTTCCTGGAAAATGTTTTCTAGGACCTCACTTCTTCAGCAGTCAGGAGATTTCTTTTTACTTTCCAGACTAATTGGATTTCACGATGAGTTTATTCCTACCTGCTCTAGGGAAAACATTACTCTTTAGCTCTAAGAGCTCCTTTCTTTCTGTGGTGTTTTTCCCTATGATGGTATAGGTACTATACCAATTTTGGGCTATTACTGGACAAATAAGCATCTTCAATTAATGGATTTCCTCTGTAACACTGTAGCAAATACTCTATTCTAATTAAGGCCATGAGTTCTACTTCATTACCTTTGTTTATAAAAAGATGGCTATCTCATAAAGTAAAAGATCAACCTACCATGACTGATTTTTGGTAAATTCATTTGCATTTTATCTTACTTTTCATTGATTTCCATGTATAAAAATGAATTAGCAAAGTTTCTGATATTCATTTAATTTAAACTACCTCTAGAATAGCTTGAGGGCTCATAAAAGTTAAACAACAGCAGGGGAAAATTTTAACTTCTGTATAACTAATCTAATTCAAAGAACCGTCAGGAAAAGATGAATTCCTAGCTATTACTCTGTGTCAGTTGATACACTTGCATCTGTTTCTGGTGAGTTTCCCCATCTGAAGAGCAGTTATTTTAAAACTGTTTCACATATGAATTTTTTTTAATCAGCTTCAGCATGTACTCAGAACAAAGCAAACATCCCAAACTGGTCATAAAGCAAGACACCATTAAATGATAGAGAAGAAGAAAGAATGATGCCAAGGTACATATATGCACTTGTTTTCTTTTCCTATCAGAAGAAAAGAGAGGCTTTTGAACTAATAAGACTATAGGACATGCACAGCCAGTTACTAGTGGAGTAAGAGTCAGCAGTGCTTTTGTAAAGAAGACAAATGAGTGGCAAAAGGACTATTGAGGTCCTGTGAAACACTCCAAGAGCCCTGTAAATCCTTTTAAATCTGTATTTTGCAAAAACCAGTATATTTCTAAGTTTCTCTAGGAAGATTTCCCTAACATCTGAAAATTGCTCCGTGGGGAATTGTTTCCTAACAGGAACTGTGTTAGTAGCTAGGAAGATGTTTCTTCTGAAATACTCCTGCTTTTCTGAGCTTGCCCTGCCCTGTTTCTGTGCCGGAGAAATATTCGTGACTTATGGCACCCAACTGAGACAGCAAAGGACTTTAAGAAGAAAAAGGGAATCTGGGGGCCAAATGTTACATCATATACTGCCTGAAGCAGCTGGTTTGCCACAGTCGATGCAATGAAAATGACCAAGCAATCATTACGCATCCACTTTTCTATCAAACCTTGACTGCTGAAAGCAGCACCTTTTATCTGAGGGATCTAATCCCTCCTACAGCCAACCCTCCAACAAACAAACACAAATTTTCCATTACCATGAGTACACCAAAAGACCACCAGTCAGCACTCTGCGTGTGTCCTCGTCGGTTGACCACCTCTGGGGCCATATACTCTATCGTCCCACAGAATGAGTATGCTCTCTTGTCGTGGTCAATGGCTTCTTTACTCAGACCAAAATCTAAATAAATTGAAACAAAAAAGACCTGTCAAGTCTATAAAAATGATTATTTACGCTATTGCTCACTTAATCTGTTTGAACAAAACACACCAACAAGCTGATGAAGCACCCTTCTGTTTGTGTGCACAAAGGCCACAAGCACTTGTGTGCTGACAGCCTGCCGATATGGAGTGTCTGGCTGGCATTTGTCAATACACCCTGAAAGTAGGTATATCATTTTCTCTGTTCAAAAAGAGGTTCTGGCCCAAAGCAGACAAGAGCATTTAAATAAGCAGAAATATACAGTTCAGGTTTTGTGAAAGCACTGCCAGAAAGGATTCTTGCTCAGATAACCAAAGCATTGGCAACAATAATCGCAGATGCCACCAGTGAAAAGGATGGCTAGACAGCACCTCCAGGGTGGCAAAGGGGTGTCTTTCCAGGCATCCTCTGCTTGGAGTAAAGCAGTCATAATGGGAGAATCCTTTCATCCACAGTGGTAGGCAGCCAAGCCTACATGCTTTACATCAGTCAAGAGTACAATTTTATCAAGAAAATGCTATGTTCTCCATGTGCTGTGTAGCATGGGGGTTTGAAAACTGCCAGAGAAGCCCACCATGCAAACTCTTCTGGCTTGTAGTTTTCATAAGAAAACTGCTTCCAACCAAAGACCAAGATACATGGAACATTCTGCAGAAGAAATAATCAGTTTGTAGATGTTAATTTTTCTGTGCCTCACATACCTGTTATCTTAATGTGACCCTCTTCATCAAGAAGAATGCTATAAAGAAAAAAACAAAAACAAAACCAACATTCATTCATTAGTCAGGTACAGAGGTCAATTACCAAACGTTAAGAAAAAATGTTTAAGATAGATAAGGAGATATGCAAGACTCAAATACTTATGTAAACAAATTGTTAGTGGATTCTATGGCTCCAGAAAGAAAAATGAGCCTCAAAGGTCTGCCTAATCTCATGTCTGAAGCACAAACAGCCTGCAGCAGTTACATGAGGAGCCTCCTCATTACTCCATAGGATGCTCAAGGTGAGCATGCAAACAGGGCTCAGAAAGAACACAGTGTTCAAAGCCAACTACTGCAGAGTGTATTCTTCCAGCAGGAGGAGGAGCTACAGGCTTTCTGCTCATAATCAGAGCTTGGACTCAATGGACCTAAAATTAACTCCAAAGGTTCATGCTGAAATAATAAATGTGATCATAGAGCACAATGACTAGTCACAGCCTAACTGCTTGGACCTCAGCCTCTGCTAATTTATTCTCTCCAAAAGCACAAATGAAAATTCAGCCTGGAAGCCAAGTTCAAGTGTTCTCATGTTTGCGACCTGCCAACGTATTTTATTCTCACAAAGGCACTCCAACATTTCTGTGTGAAAAATGACTGTAGTTCACAAAAAGCAAAGCTAGTTTTTGTGGAAACAAGAAGGAACACTGAATCTGAAAAATAATGATTTTTGGTAAGTACATACTGACATAGTACATACTGACATAGTAATGAAGGTGATGTTTCTTCAGTTCTAGTTACTTCTAATTCACTTTTCAAAATGGTCTAGCAAGGTGTCAGCTATTTTTATATTCCTCTTCTCTTAGAGAGTCACTTTAATCCAATTATTCAGGAAGAAAATAAGATAGAAGTGAACCAAGTATAATAGGCTATACTTTTATGAAAGGATGTGTCTGCACTGAAACATAACTAAGAAAAGATAATCTTTGGTCATTCATTTATGTATTTGGAAAAAGCTGTTGTTGTGTCATTCATCAAACAAAGGCCAGAAGCTGAGTCCCTACTATGTCTTCAATAATTAAAGCTTTTTCTTCTCAATAAAAGCATCTTTACCTTTATTCTTTCTCCGCAGTTTTCTTGAAGAGGCATAATTTTTTAGGTAGTAGCCTATAACAGGCATGTTTAAATGTATTTTTGCGACTGCAACCTCTAAAGTTGTGCTTCAGAAGAGAACAGAATACAACATCTGCCAGTGTGGAAGTGAGTGTGAACTCCCCAGACTCAGATCTGGAAAAACAGCAAGGGGCAGTAGAGCTCAAAGAGACCATGCAAAATTTTGCCCCATGCCCAGGAAGCCTCAGTGAATAACAATGCAATTCAGAGGTTGTGGGGATTTTCCCAGAAACATCAATTTTTTATTTTATAGATTTTATATTTCACAACTTCCAACTGAAAAATCCATGCTCCTTCTGTATGCATACAATGTATATTTCCCATACCTTCACCTTCACACTGATTTGTGGGTTCATACCTTACCCTCATTAAAGGGATGGAGGCAACCCCAGCCCAGCTATCAGATTGATAATACTAAGTCAAGTGACTCAGAAGCACACAACAACAGAGTTTCTCACAATGAATGTTCACATGAGCAGCAAAATGAATGGATCCTGGTTTCCAGTGGATGTGTATTCTATATCCCCTAAAACTTGATCTACAGTTTCCTCCTCTGTCTCATGTTCCCTAACCACCCTTTTACTGTGCACTCAGCTGCTGGCAGCTTCCTCTGGCCCCTGGCAGCACTCTTTGGACAGCTGGGTGCTCCCATATTTGCCATCTGCCACCACAAATAATGTTACAGTTACTAACCAAAGATTATATATGATGGAAAAGAAAGTAATACGCTAAAAGTGAGGGAAAGAAAAAAGACAGCTGTTGCACTGAATTATCTTAGAGTGGCATTAAGAAGCAAAGAACAACGTACTTGCTTCTAAACATCTGAATTACAACAACAAACAGTTTTCTTTTGACTGTAGAAGCAAACTTATTACCTGATCATACTCTATGTCATCTCTTTTCATTTTATCACTTCACAGTTCCCTTTTATCCCAATATATCCATAGCAGAAATTCTACTGTGACAATCACAATTACTTTAGCTATGGTTTGAAGGATAAAATAATCTGCAATAAACTAGTATTATTCTGTGGAAGGGAAGAAAGAACAGAAGTTGTAAATGTGATTCAGGCTCAAGAATAATATTTCCTCTAAAATAATATTTTAAAATTATAAAAACCATAAAAAGTAGACTACTTTAAGTGCTAAACTAGGCTATAATTCCACTGAGTGATAACTTTATGAGATTTTTGCATTTTATTTGCTCAGTTTGAGTGCTTTCCATAGAATCACAGAATCATAGAATCAGATGGGTTGGACAGGACCTCTGAGATCATCAAGTCCAACCCTTGATCCCCTACCACTGCAGTTACTAGATTATGGCACTAAGTGCCGCACCCAGTCTCTTCTTAAATACCACCAGGGATGGAGAATCCACCACCTCCCTGGGCAGCTCATTTTGCAGGATACTGTCATTGCTGACCTGCTCTTCAAAATAGTAACAACCGTTATTTGGTGAAAAATATACCAACATCATAAATAAGTTAACCACACAAAGGCTTGGAACAAAAAATTCCACAAAATAAGGCTATCTCTTCAAGAAGAGGAAACTGAGCGGAGAATTCATTGAGTCTACAGCTTCCTTACAAGGGGAAGTGGAGGGGCAGGCACAGATTTCTTCTCTCTAGTGACAGGACCCGAGGTACAGGCTGGATTTCAGAAAAATGTTCTTTACTCAGAGGTTGGCTGGGTACTGGAAGAGATACCTTAGGGAAGTGGTCACAGCACCAAGCCTGACAGAGTTCAAGAAGTGTTTGGACAATGCTCTCAGACACACGGTGTGATTCTTGAGGTTGTCTTGGGGATATTCTATTATTCTATGATTGAATATTTTAGCATCAGCATCATCCCCCAAACATTTAAACTGCTTTCACTGATCTCAGTTTAAAAGTATGTCTTCAGAAAAAAATCTCCATCCCAGAGGCTGGGAAGCTAAGTTAGTAGGAGGGGAAAGACATACTCCAAGTTACAAGAGAAGCTCATAGTAGACCTAGGACTGCAAAATCCATAGAAGTTTTCTGATGCAACTTTATCACAGGGATAAAAATCTTTCATTATGCGTTGTTGGCATTGTTTCATATTATGTCTTAAATCAAGGCCAGAGCAATTCTCTCCCATTTCTCTCTCTCTTTTTGGTTTTGACTCATGTCTTTTGGGCTTCACTTTGTGCTCCAACATACCCAAATCAATGTGCAGTTTTGCCAAATCTATTGAAGCAAGAACTCTAGGACTGCCTTTATTTATTTTTTTTTTCCCTTTGGACGATTTAAGTCTTTTCTCAAAGTCAGCACAGTTTTGCAGAAGATTCAACCCACACTTTATGCTTCTCAGAAACTGTAGCCAAATTTTCAGGTTGGAAAGAAAATATGGAACTTCATAAAGAGTGTTTCATTTGATTGCAGGTTTTGTTATGAAAGTACCAGATGAAGCAGTCAAATATCTATCAAAGAGATGAAGATTCTCACAGACTGTCAGCATTTTGTGACATTTCAGTGTTTGCATGATCCCATACTATCTCACAGAATCCCATGCTATCTCACCCTGCTGAACATAAACTCTGCTGTGGTTTTGTCTGACAGCCCAAAGTCCCCAAAAGGGACTGTTACTTTGATGGAAGTTGATGTTTATTTTCCACCGTAAGCCTTTGTGCTTTACTGATTTTCAGATCTTCCCTCTCTACACAGGGCAGCTACATTCATAAATAAATTGCCATAGTTTGCAACATGCTGCATTAAACAGTGGTGTTTGGGTGTTTGGTGTTTTAGAATACAGCTCAGCATATCAGAAGTTGTTGTATGAGCAGTCATATGAACTGTCCCTTGTACCGATAACTGAGGGCTTTACAACAAACACACTCTTTGTTAATCAAAGCCCCTCTCACAGAATTGTATCAAGGTGCACCTAGGCTCCCGGAGAGAGAAAAAACAAAGATAAATAATAAGGTCCACATATTTTCAGATGGTAGAGTTACTTCTAAGTCACTCGTACCCTTAAACCACAGCATAAGAAATAAGATATGCATCACATCCTACTTTAAAAGTTCCCATTTTTCTATTTTGGTATGTTTACCATATTTAACAGCTTAATCGTGCAATTCTTAAATAAAAATTTGCCTCATCATGTAAGTAACTCCATGGCTCTCAGTGTGACTGAACAATACCTTGTTCCACAAGAGATGCCGCTGAAACCACCAAGACAACTCAAGGAGAAGAATTTGGCTACAACAATTTCAGGGAAGCATCTGCTTGTTCTAAACAAGAATTTTAACTAGAAAACTCAAAATCTTGCCTTTTTGAAGTAAGTACAGATGACTTTAGAACTACTCTCAGTTGCACATAAAATTAACTCATAGCTTTGAATTGTTAACATGGATTTTTGCTCAAGGAATTTAAAAAAAACACTGGACCTTAAATTTTAATATACTGAGAGCTCTTTCAAGTGGTCTGAACAGTGCTGTTTTCTAAGTAGTTTTTTTTGATGCAAACAATTCCGATGAACTTCATTTTAGGATACTTACAGCACTGACTGAAGCCATCTCAAACCTATTAGCAGTTACTTTTAGAAGCTTCTGAAGGACAGCAAAAGCACTGAACAATGAAAGATCATATGCAGTGCCTATCTTTAACAAAGCGGGTGGGGGGAAGAGGGAGAGAACTGGGAAATTACAAACTAATTAGTTTATCTCAGTTCTGCAAATCTGACCGAGTAAACCTCATGCTCTAATCAGACTGGTAATGCCTCTTCTGTGTGGGATTCTGCACGTTGCACTTCAAAGGAGATAGGTATCAAGGGAAACCAAAGGCAAGGACTGAGAATGATTGAACACCTATAAAGACTGACTACTGAAGAAGAGTTCAGTGTGCAGAAGAATGATGTGCTTGCAATCTCCTGAGGCTGCTGCTGAGAGCAGAACATGCAGGTTGGGGAGTCCAGGAGGATAGGCCAAGGAGCAGTGGCCTGCAACAGCAGCAAAGGAATTTCAAATTACCTATTAGGAGCAACTTTCTAGATGTCCTTTCTAGGCCTCCCACGGAGACCAGCAGCTATTTTAAGACTAGGTTAGCTATGCACCTGTAATGGCCTTGATGTATTCAACCTAGCCCAGAGGCAAGGGGAGGATAAGAACATCCTGGGATGGTCCTAATTTTCTTCTATTGTCTGATTTAGAAATCTATTCTTTCCCAGATGTAACTTAAAAAACTAGCAATTTTTCCCTTGAGAATACTTTTTTTTATTCTGCTGTATCTATTTATTTTAATGGGCTGTCATGCTCTGCTGTCCTAGGTATGACTACACATAGGCTTTGCACTAATAGAGCTATTTTTAAAAGATGTGGTTTTCAATCAGATGCCTTGCTTTATCTCCTGGTATGAACTTTTGTGTCATCCCCTTTCCTGTACAACAGTAATATTCATGTAAGCCAATTTTATACCATGGCATTTGTATCCAAATGAAACTGTATTACTGCTATCCATTTAACTGTACATAAATGACCATAAACCACATATACAAAAGTTAGGAAATACAAGAGTGAAGGCTGCCACTCACTATATTACAGTCTTCAGTTACATAATAATATTGTTTTCTTCCAGAGAAATCTTGTCCCACCTGCGAGACTGGTAACACTCAGGGATTTTAGCAGAGCAGTACAGTGAAGGAGATGGCTGGTTTCAGCTGACACAAAAATACACAGAAAGCTGAATTCCATCTTTTCTACATGCTTTTATTTGACAATGGAAAATCAGTGACACCTTCCTTTCTTAGGTGAGCTCTAATTTCTCGATTCGCTGATCCCTGATTTGAAGCAATGCAGCTTGGTCTGCAGAAATTTTAAGCACTCTCACTTGCAAGTGGAGTCATTGAGAGATGTGCTCTGAAATGCAAGGTGATACTTCATGATGAGAACTCTGAAAAATCCAGTTCTCAGTATCTCAAATACAGTGAATAGTTTTGACATGCACTTAATTTTCTCCTTGGTTTCTAACTTGTCCTAAAGCAAAAAATTACAGCTTGTCCCTATAAATGTAGCAGCATTGTGACTTATACTTGAATACAAGCTCATGTCTGGATACCTTCAAATAGCAGATTCATATATCATGTGTTAGCTTGAAAATCAGCTTCGCCAAACATGAGACAGAAAAGTAGTGCATGATTCATACTAATGCTCACTAGTATCAAAGTTTAAAACTGAAAACCTATAACTGGAGTTATTCTGCTATGATCATGAATGTTGACGCTAGATGCATAAAAAAAGCAATTCAGAATGAAGTTGAAACCAAACACCTTCTGGCAGAGGATGCAACAGCATGTGGCTGTGGCAGCTGTGGTGTGATAGCTGCCTACCTGCATTTCATATGAGTAACAAACCAGTACTTTGCTCCCTCCAGCTGTTTAATTTGGAGGATGACTTCCCATATTTGCCTAAGACTCTGATTTTCAGTTTTGGTTGCATAAATGGACTAGACTGGAAAACCTGATCACCTGCAAAACAGTTTCTAGTCCAAAAGAATGAGAGCTATTATTGTGTACATCAGTTGAACTTGTATAGTACTACTACTATTACTTTTCTAACCAAAACATATCGAATTGTAACGTAGATAAACAGTTTCCTCCCCTTCAACTTCCCACTGCCAAAGTTTACCTTCTGTCACTTTTGGTCTCTTGTTTTGTCCATGAGTGTGACAGCAGTAACACTCTATTTTAAAGAAAGAGCTGAAGATTTTTCAATTTGATGTCACAGAAGGAAAAGGTTGCTTTGTTGTTAGACTTTGAAAGTGTAAGCAACTGCCAAGCAGACTTCCATTAATAGTCATTTTTATAAATCACAGTGACCATCACATTAAAAAGGTTAGTAACTTTTAAATGTTGCAGCATGCTTTATTTGAGCCGGCACAGCAGATGCAGGCAAAGCACAAGGCAAAGGGCATGGAATAAAAACAGTATCACGCCACTCCCAGTGATAGCACTGAGGGTGTCATTTGCTCTTTTGAAGTACTGAAAATAAAATAAGAGAAAGGAAAATACTCCATAGCACCACGTTAGGAGTGGAAAATAGCTGCAAATGTAAGTGAGAATAAATCTTCGGAAAATATTTTGGATAGTTAATAAAAGTGTTTTTAAAATCCTGATTGTCATGTCTCCTGTGAGCTAACAGGTACACTAGTTTTCAGACATGGTCATTCACTTTAAGTAATGGCTACAATAAAACTGAAAGGTGCCATGACCATGACATATTTCGTATGAGCTGGAAGTGGAGTTGCTTTGAGTGGTTTACACTGCATCAAGGGGAAGGCCAGATTAAATGCTGTAAATAGAGAACAGTGCTAAAGGCACAGGGATCTGAAATCTGTGCTGAGATCATTTACTAAACTGAAGGCCAGGCACACAAAGGTCCCATTATACTGGAGCACAGTCAAAACATTTGGCCTCATGTTAAAATGATTTGATAGGAAGACCCTACTGCTGTTAGTGAGGGCCTTGTGTAGAGTCTCACATACAATAAGGAAAGCAGAGCCTGTGGCACCTGATTTAGTAGCATGAAAAGGAGCAGAAACAACCTAAAATGTATATATGTTTCAGTTTGCTTTTTCTTATTAACTTACTTTTCTGGTTTTAGATCCCTGTAAATAATTCCAAGACCATGGAGATGGTCTAATGCCAAGGCCAGCTCAGCTAAGTAGAACTTGACATCCTCTTCTGTAAACATCACCTAGAGCAAAGGAAGAGAAGAACACATCTATTTATTGGACAGTGGTGTGCTGGCTTGTGTTAAACAGACAGGGGAGGAATTGTCTAACTTGGGAATGCTGGAAGGACCATCATTTCAGGTTCAATTTTCCATAATTTTTCTGTACTCACATTAACCATTCTTACCAGATTCCCCTTATAAAACAAAACTTGAACTGTTAAGTACTTCTGTTCCTCAAAATATGCTGCTGTTATTCATCTGTTTTATCTGTTTAGATGGCATCATGTCACAATAATATGAATAAGGTTTTAACTCCTTAGCATTTGGAAATGTATGGTGAAATTAAATGCAGTCAGTGCAGTCCTTATTGCTTTCATATCCCTATATTTGCTAAAATCTTGGCATTTGGTTACCAAATTCCCAGGAAACAGCATGGGAAAACCTTTTTGGGGAAGGGAAATGCTTCCAAATCTGAGTGGAATACACAGCATGAAGACACTTTGAGATTAATTTAAAACCCCATACACTGAAGGTTCCAGGAATCTCAGTGCAGATGCCCTAAGCAGTGATGTGTTATCTAACATCCAGAGACTGATGAGGTGTAAACTGAGGGTCTTTTTTTCTATAGCTGATACAGGATACTGCTAAAACTGAAAGCCCTCTTTTAGGTGAGAAGAAACTTCTATAATTAAAAAAACCACTAAGCTCTGAAAAACTCAAATGGCAAGAAACCCCTTTGGTTTAGCTTTCATTGTCTCTCAGACTTTCTCTTTCATTAAATTTCAATATGCACAGAGATAATAATGCAAAAAGAGAAGCTGATATATTGGACACACAAGTGTGAATACTATGCACGACAGAAGTAAAATGAGTCAGCTCGATACAAATTTACTGGTCATATGTAAATACCACAGTATGTAAATACTACAGTAGAAGTTGCAGAGCTTGATTTTAAAATTAAGTCTCTGCTCTCCAAAAAGCATAACCAAAATACTTAAGTGCTCTGAGAAGCTCCAGACAGCTGAGAGAAAAAAGAGATGATTCAGAGAACAGATGCCTCACAATTTAATTAAGAATTTCACTGCAAAGACTAGAAATACAAATACAAGCAAAATAATAAATAAATACACAAGCAAAAACCATGACTAAAAATTTAATTGTACTGAATGTTAAAATTGCATTAATTTTCAAAATAAATTTAAATTATTTATAAGGTTTAAAATAAATAATGTAGCCAAGAAATTAAATCAATAGAATCAGGGAAAAATCGAAACTATAGAGATACACCTTGAAGTCAGATGTCTCAGAAAAATAGAGCAGGAAACAGGCAACCTTTGCATGCACACATGTGAGATAGATAGATAGATAGATAGATAGATAGATAGATAGATAGATAGATAGATAGATAGATAGATGATAGATAGATAGAGATATATACATGGGATCTGCCTGGAAGTCACTGAAATCAATACCATTCAAGCAAATCTATAATAACAAATCGCAAACAGTACAAGTTTTCCCTGAACTTCTTCCTTTGCAATACCTTGTCATTAAATGGTTGCAAAATATAGGTAGACAATGTCAGCTACAAACACTGGAAAAGGAAAAGTACATTTCTACTTTCAAGTTAAGAGGACTCAGTTGTGATGGTATAAAGCAGAGAAGTCAGTGAATTGCACTGGAAAAGCTTTGGGGGAAATGTGAAGCTTTAAAGAAGTACAAAGTCTGAGTTATCATCTTCCACATCTGAGTTCTCTGGTTGTACAGAACAGGGACCTGCCCTCTGTAGGCAAGAGTCACATTTTCTCTCCTCTTCCATGAAAACAGAGAGGCCTTTGCTGTGATGGCAATGTTGCCTTATAATAAAGCCTGGTCTCATGACAAACAGCAGAAGGATATTTTACAGGGTTTTTAAATCTTCTTCCTCATATTAAAAATAACTGCTACCATGTAATAAGTACTTATATAAGTATCATCACTCAGCAGTTCAATTAACCTGTTGTCAATGTCTTCTTTCATTAGCAAACAAGCCTTGAAAGCAAATATTTGGGGTCCCAAGCTGTGGTGCACACAGCAGTCTGCAGCATGTCCCAGAATGAGGAATTGAAGAGGGGGGCGGACCTAGGCAACTTTTGACTAAAAATGCTGTTTTCACAGCTTTTTTAGTCCTTCAGTATCTCCCCAAACCCAAGAAGACCAACAGAGCTTCCCCTCAAGATGGCATTTGAAAGGTCCCTATCTTTAAAGTCTCTGTTATACGTGGTTTCCTGCACCCCTGTCTCCACACCCTGGAAAGTGACCGTTGACTGGGGACCTCGTGTTGGGGACAGAGAACACCAGGGTGCAGACAACTCCGGGGGAGCTGGCCTGCCCCACTGGAGCCTCTTGCACTGCACACAGGAATGTCTCCGAGTCTGCTGGTTCACAGAGGTGTTTGGAGAGGCAGGAAAGAGATAAATGAACTTAGAAAACCTGCTGCAGCTGCTCTGTATGAGCATCAGCAGGACTCAAGTTTGGGCTGTTCCCTGGCTGCTGTTTCCTTAAGCAGCAGCCCCTCTCCAGGGACAGGACATGCAGAGGACAGGGAAGGGGGTGAGAGCCTGGGAGGGTGATGGAAGCAGCAGCTGCTCCTTGCAGGTAGGAGAAGAGCAGGCGAGGCAGCCTCCCAGCCCCTGACCTGCTCCCAGCAGCTGCTCCAGGAGGCAGCTCTCTCCTCACTTGGTGCAGAAGCCGTCCCTGACCCACGGCTATCTCTTCTCTCTGCTGGCAGCGTGTGTGTTTTTGCAGTGGTTCTCTGCTCGTATACCTGGGGCAAGAGGTATTGGAGATTGATTTCTCAAGACTATTTCTCATCACATCCAAGATTTATTTTGAAAGCAATGTGTCGGGGCTATTTTGCTATAGGAATGGCTTAGCAGTGGTGCAGTTTTCTCTGACAGTGATGCCTACATGGTATCTGCTGCATTACCCATGGCATAATTCAAATACAATTTTTAAGAATCCACTTAAACATGCAAGATAAGACAGCTCTATTACACGTATAGAGGACTATTCCCAAGGCCATTTTTCATTCCCACTGGTTCTGAAAATCCAAGACAGTCTTTAATTTCTAAGTTAAAGATCTATCAGCTTACCTCTTTGGAGAGTCGGGTGAAAAGGTCTCCTCCCCGCAGGAAATCTAGTATTAGATACAACTTTCCCTCTGTTTGAAATGCTGCATTAGAAAAGGATGGAGATGTTGGCACTTTGAATCAAGATAAAGTCTCCAAAGAGTAAGTCTTGTGGACTAGCAGTGTATCATTCATGCCATTGCTTCACTGTCATTTCAGATCTTTGAGAACTGAAAAAATTAATTTCTGCACATAACTAAGCAATTGAGCTCAGACTATGGGGAAAATGGTATCAGTTGAGAGACAACAGCGTATTACTAACATTCACTTCCCCTCCAAGCACCTATGAATCAACAGTACTTCCCACTGCAGGGAGAAGTACTTACCAGGATTCACTGAGGGCTAGGCATAGAAGGAAGCTCCCAGGTTTGTGGGAGATGAGAGCCTGCACTATCCAAATGTTTTCCGAATACCCTTTATAATAATAATGGGGCTCCCCAGGAAGCTGATGAGGAGGTAACTCCAGCAAGACACCACATTCATACACACACACACACACACACACACACATATAAATTTGGACTGGTACTAGTTATTAAAAACAGTTTTTATTTAGATTCTCTTCTTTCTCAGACATCAGGTAAGGGGGTTGGCAGCTGTATATGCAGCAGCTAATCCACTAGCACTACCTATCATGTCAGACTTTATGACAAATCTCTTTTGGTGGAGGAATGGCTAAAACTTATACTGAAATTACCCTTTAGCATAAATGAAGAATTTCACACAGGTAGCCTTTATGACTTTGTTAGAAGCAGAGCTGTAAGTAGGCAGGGGGGGTATTTGTATGAAGTTATAATACATCTAGTTACAATTATCCAACCAAATTTAGAACAAACATGAATTATATTTTATTATAGTTACCATAATGAAGCTTGACTATGAAGGGATGGTTCACTTCTGCCAAAATATCTCTCTCCATTTTTGATCGTACCCGATCTCGAACTATTAAAAGGGAACAACAAGAACAGTGACATATTAAGAGGCAGCATGGTCACTAGATACAGTACTGGAATGAGGTTACGGTGATCTGGATTCTGCTTCTCACTCTGCTGATGACTTGTGGTATGACCTTTGGCAAATCACACCAATCGAGTGTCCTCTTTTTCTGTCTGTCTTGACTGTGTAGTAGAGTATGTTCTTCAGGAAGGCTCCCTCTTCCTCTGTAGAAGACTGCCCTAACTAAAAGGACTACAGAATTACAAACAACAGGAAGACAATTACACAAAAAACTTCCAATAAACCACCCTAACAATCAGTAATAAAAAAAAAAAAACTAAAAGGAGTAAATAAATAGTTTTTTAATGTGTGTGTAGAAATAAATTTATTGTGTGATAGCAGTAACAAAAATTATTTTTAGAGGTTAAGATGAATAACCTTAAGGGAAATCAGAGGTGAGCTGAGTTCAAGCTAATCAAAACTGATGCTGAAAATTTCAAAGCAAAAACATTTAGCAGAATGTTCAGACACTGAGGAGGATTCAAGTCCCCATATTATCAAAACTTGATCTTAAAGATGCATTTTTTTAGTCAATCACTTTTTTATTAAAAGTATTGACATTTTCTTCTTTCTCTGCATTACACAATGCCAATATGCTTTTCAGATGAAATCATCTACAAGAGATGTTATGAAACTATTTTAGGTAGCAAAGCCTGAGATCTCAGTGAGATTCTGTCACTGCACGCACATGTTGTGGAGCTGCTGAGAAGCTGAGTCCTCTCAGCTCAACCAGTAATGAACATACCATAGTGAAACCACACAGTCTGTTGCTGTACTTCAAAAACTGATGCACAGAAATAGGTCCAAACCAGATGATCTGAAAACCTTAAACAGGACTAGAGAGATACTTGGATTTCTTGCTATTTTGATGCCAAACTTAGGTCAATAGTGATGTAAGGTTTACTAGCTCATTCAACCTAAGCTACCTTCTAGATAAAATTCAAAACAAAGGGGATCTTAGAATTTTAATCTTAACTCCCAAGTGAAAATCACACACCACACACTCACAGAATGCTTAACCTATGTGAAAGCGGTTCACTTTTTATGCTATAGATCAGCAAAGATCCCAAGCAGGAATTCTTGTGGTACAGGTGGGCATTGCTACATGGGATGCTTCCCATTAAGCCAGGTTAGTTAGCCTAAAAAAGTGCCTGCCTTCATTTACACTGTACAGGTGTGAGAACAGGCTGTCAGAACAGCAGCCTGCCCTTCTCTCCCCATCATTTCAACCTCTGCCCCCTGCCCTGTGCCCTGCTCACTGCCGTGGTGGTTACAGGCTGTGGACCCATCACGGTGCCACGTCACCCTTCTCCCCACATGCACACAGGAGGCATGCCAAAATTAAAGAAAAGATGATGTTGCCATAGGAGACATCTCGTTCTCCAGAATCATGGCCCTGAAACCACTCTGAACCTAATTTACTCCAGAGCTGCTCTAATCACCACCTTGAGATTGGCTGCCAAAAGAAGATCACTGGAACTTGTAATCAGGAGTGTAGCTTGGCATGTCAGTTGGTGATCTGCCCTGCTCTGTGCATCTTTACAGCATCAAATACTGTCTGATTTAAATGCTCTGAAGGCAGAAAGCTATATAGGCTCAGATTTTTATGCAGTCCTAGCACTCAAGAACCTAAGAATCATATTCTCTAGAAAGGTAAATCCACTTGCTTTCTGCCACTGTCCAGGCCAATTTTAACCCCAGGAGCATCCTCCCTAGAGGTATCCATCTGCTAGCGCCAGCGTACATAACACAGAGCACCATCAGAATATTCACCTGTATGACTAAAATGCTCACTGGGAATAGCGTTCAACTGCTAAGATCTTGACCCTTCTACCAATACTGAATTTGTTTTTTAGAGGTGTGGTTATCTTTACATTGTATGTCAGACAGAGGCAGAGAATCCAGCCTGGAGTAATGAGCACAAATTAATGAAGATTGTTTGCATGATCTTGGACAAACTAGCTCTCCCTGAAATAATCCCTGGTGATCACCAGGCAGAAGGGACGAGACTGGTGGAGCCTGTAACAAATGAAGGAAACACCTGCTACCCAAAAATAAAAACAGTTCCCATTTCCAGGTATTAACGTTGTATGAAAGAGAAGGGGAGGCAGCTGAGGATATATGCAAATAAATAGAGCTTATCCACTTCTGTCTAATTCTGAACATTAAAGAGAAGGACATTGCTGCTTACTTTGCTGGTCTTTTCTCTGTCTTCAGACTTACCTGGAGTAAAAGTTGATTTTTCTACTTCAAAAGAAATAATTTTAAGTAAGACTTGCAGTGCAGTTTCAGTTTTTGCATATAGATTATACGTCACAAGGCATGGGGGTTTTTACCTTGAATCTTGTACAAACTAATATGTGTATCAAATTTAAACTGGTATTAATGTATGAAGATTATATTTCAGCTTCAATTTTCAAATGTTAAATAAAAATGAAATTGCTTTTGTTTACAAACAAAAGTAAACCAGTCATGATGTTGTTCCATTGACAACTATTAGTACTGGAGAATAAATTTTGTGCAGACACCTACATACACATGTATGTAAGATACACTTTCTACTCCTAGTAGCTCTTGTTTCTTAAAGCTTTCTCTAGAAGCTCCTGTAGGGCTTAGAGTTTCTCAGACTTTGCCAAAGCCTGAAGAAGAACCTGTTTGAAAGTCACAGACGCTTGGGCAGTCATAGCCAAACTTATACTGCACTTGTCCCATGCCAAGTGGCTCCTCCTGCCCCTGCACTGTCTCTCTCCCAGTGTTTTTAACTTGGGAAGGGAAAATGAAAAAAAAAAAAAGGAAGATGAAAAACTTGAGCATATTCACTTGATAGCTACTAGGAAAGAAAATCTCATGGGAAAAAACTGGCTTCAGTAGCTGCTGCATTATGGGGCTACACTTAATTCTTTTAAATACTGGCCTTTTTAGAGCAGAAATTAGGATCGTGAAGCACCACAAAGGTAGTCACTATCTGGGTACTGCTGTCCTCACATGGCCTGGGCCAGCCCAGTACTCCACCAACACCTTTTGCTGGCAAGACCACTAATGAGGGTGGGAGGCAGTGGAATGGGGTCTGCCCTGTTCCCTGTGTTGAAACCCCACTGGTGAAACCCCGCATGTGTCATGCACCTTCCTTTGGGGCCAGCTGGATCCCACCAGGGCATGGATGCTTTAAATTAGTGCTCCCATGACAGACACTATTTTCTGCTTATGGCTTTCCTCTTTAAAAGTCTAAGGCAGAGAAAGATCCAGCAAGACGGTGCATATTACAGATGTCTTAATGGACTGCCTTGGCTAAGAGCACTGGGCTGCAGAACAGACTTGATAAACAACAAAGTCAGTGCAATGAAACTCGTCTCCGGCTTTCCTATGGGAGGAATCACAGGGCAGTGCATCAGCGGTAAGAGACAGGAGCCAAGACGTATGTCTATCAGAAAGATCAGCACAGAGGAAAGGAGCATCCTGTCTGTTCTGAGGACCAGCAACAGGGCAGGGAATCCGTGACTTGGGGCTGTCCAGCTCTGGCTGCCCACACAGAAGGTGCAGAGATGTATGTGATATATTCCGACTTCCTCCATAGGTGCTGAACTTGGCTGTTGCTCTCACCTCTGTTTGCCAACAGCACAGGAAGGCAGAGTCTCATAGGTGAAATATTTTCTGTACGCACTAGCTGCGGTCCAGCACAATCTGCTTTGCTCGTGACTGCAGTTGTTTGTGTGTTCAGGCCCTGTGAATGTCTCTGACTTATTAATGCAGCCTTGCAAATGCAAGCAAAGTACTTGTCTGCTCCTATACAGCTCTAGAAATAATTAAATGATATCTAG